AAGACTAGGTATGCATGTGTAGTACTAAATGGAGGTGATAATATACAAGGCATGAGCTGTTCGGTCAAACATTGACATATACGTCTGAATGATAAATAGCTATGCAAGATATTTGCAGAGACTGACAAGAAGGATCGGCAGTGAAGCTTCAGTAAGATACCAATCCTTATATATATTTTCTTACTGAAATGTTCTTGGAGGGAAGTCGATCACTGGCATTCATCAATAATTGTGTAACGATTATGTCAACGTGTAGATTCGTCTATGTATGTACTTTCAGCATGCTGCTGTGTGTTCCTCGGTAACGAGGACTCGCATTTCTTTTCAACGATGTCTCGTTGGACTCGGTCGTTACCGTGAAACACGAGAAAGTATTTCGGCCGAGCAGAATCGCGATTCAATATTTGGTGGAGAATCACTCTGGATCAGTGTGGACAATACTTAGCCTCGCTCGTGCGTCACAGGATGAATACCCCGACACGCCCGACTCAATTGCTTGGGTCAACACACTCGGATTTTAAGATGCTTCCCAGCGACCGTTATAGTCATCCACCGAACGAGACTACACACAATGGCTACCAAGGAAACGCGAGATTTTTTTAATTTCATAAAATCACTCGTGCTTTTTTGAGGGATACCTGGTACGGGCTTGAGTGCTGGTGACGTCATCTCGGTAGAGGCTTCATTGTCATCGAGTGTGTCATTTCATCTATTCTCCTCTCAAGCCGTCTGCCACTGATGTTTTTCCTTGCACTATATGCATCGATGTTATTAGCAAAGAGCGGACGACAAATTAAACTTAACTTGCCAAAGAGCGGACGACAAATTAAACTTAACTTGCCAAAGAGCGGACGACAAATCAAACTTAACTTGCCAAAAGCAACGACAGGAAAAGAGAATGTTCTTCGCCTCCTGTGTGGAAAACAACATGAACCGAAAAAGAAGATGTTCTTTTTCTGTTATTTAATTCAATAAGAATGATGCCCCAATCGATATAACAGATAATGCGTTGTCTGCGAAACTACATTCGAAATACTATTTCAGCTGCAGTTGCTTGAATGAAGTGGGCTAGAATGCTTCTGACAGCTATAAACCACTTTCTCAGTATTTAAGAATGTTCGGAATTGAATCAGAATATAGTTAAGATTTCAATAGTGTGGCCCAGATATCTCGGACTTCGTGCACTTTCACCTACTGGGACTATTTATTATTTGATTTGCTTTTGAAGGCAGTCAGGCACGAAATTCGCAGGAAATCGGTCCAGACGTGAGTATCTATGGCTCGATGAAGGACTTCGTGAAAGACAAAAACACAATCGGTCAACGAAATTAGGTATTAGATCAGCACATTTTCGTGTCAAACAAGAAAATCATTGCGCTCAATCATTCAATTCATATAAAGTTGTCTTCAATTCATATATCAATTGAATCACGGACCATTTAAATGGTCCGTGACGTGATTGAATGGACTTCAACCTATAGGCTTGTATAACTCATTCGATTTTGAACTGTGGCTAATGTCACTGTACTACCTAAAAACCCAACGTGGCCCTCTTCACCAAATTATTGAAAATTGCAAAATTCGATTTTGAGTTATTATGATGCGTCTATCAAATGTTCCTTTTCCTGGTCAAAATGACCCAGAAAGTGAGTTAGAAAAGTGTCATTTTGACCCGGAAAAGTGTCATTTGACCAAGAAAGTGTCAATTGACCCGTAAAGTGTCATTTTGACCCATAAAAGTGTAATTTTGACCGGGAAAAGTGTCATTTTGACCCGGAAAAGTGACAGGCCCCATAGAATCCGGTTCCGGGTCAAACATAAACCGGGACTTTTTAGAGTGCACCTGTAGATAATATGCCCAAGGATTAGGGTGGTGTACATCCTTTTTCTGTTTAACCTCATAGACACTTTGGATGCACTACCACGGACACACAGACTCATGTTTTCCCAAACTGAGTTTTCTTATTTAGCAGTCGATAAAATGCTTTTTACGAGAGCCAAATCTGCTTCTCACAGACGTTTCAGCGTGTGCCTCTGCACGCGTGTCGCGTCAATACAGCCCAAAGCGACCATCGATTCATTAAGTACTCGCCATGCATTTCTGCTAACGCTTATTCCTAATGACTGGTCGAGTTGTCCTCCCTTCCGCTTTGGTAACACTAGGTCAAGGTCTGACTAATTTCATAAGCAAGCATCCTCCCTCGGTAATCATTGTCTCGTCTTCTTGCCCTGATGGGTTTCTTAAACCAGTCGCCTAGAACATGACCAACACGAATAACTATTCGTGTCTGAAGTTAGATCAAGATGGCTGACTGGCTAATGTTTTTTTTTACTTATCAACGGGTATTATGGCTAGAGACAAAAACAACTGCTTTTAAAAAAGTAATCAAAGGGTCTGACAAACATACAGATGAAGATATTATAAACCGACATTGGTTAACATCCCAGCAATTGTCCCATGGCGGATTATCTGAACAATAGCCAGCACAACGCCTTCATCATCGAAGAGGTCGTCCGTTTGTGTACAGCGATAGAGTGCTTGGATTGATGTATATGAGATCGTGGGTTCGAGTCCCACCGGTCACCCGAGCCAGCTGGTGATTTTTTTCTCTTAAAGATCTCAGACAATACTGAGTTTTACTGAGTGCCCTATTACAGTTTTATGAGAGAACGCCTATTTTGTGTTAGCGATTTCTGGCTGAACATTTTGTTCTCTGTACATTTTCAAGGCAAAACGTTCGATACTTTTTCACAACTTGTGTCAGTTTTTTTTCTCGGGAAAATGCTTCCATGTGTTTTCTGAATAATAACACAACAGTCATATAGTGTGGCAGGGTTGACGCAGTTGACCTACAAGTATATTGGGAAATTTTGCCAACCGATCACATCGATACCGACACAATATTTGATACCGATACCGATACCGACTCCACTACCGATATCATTCGGTCTATCGATACCAGAAACGATGCACCACATTGAAAATGATACAGTGATACCAAAACTGGTGCAGATATATTATACCGACACAGATAGAGATACTGATACCGATACCGATATAGCGATACCGATACCGATGCAAATATAAATAGGGAAATCGATACTCCACTACAAAACCTCCAGCAGGTTTTCCGTTTGATGACGTCATTCGATGACCATCACAGGCGATTTGCCTGCGATGGTCATTGTCACTTTCTGACCATTTCCGTAAACAATTTAATAAAAAAACGATGACAACAATAGCATTCTTCGAAAGGCACGTGCTTAACGTCCACCGTGTATTATGACAAAGGAAGATAGTTTTTAGCAGATTTGGAGATCAAGTTCAGAACGTTGGAATTATATCCTCATTACACAAGGGTTTACTTAATTGAGAGTATAGTAAACAAAATAATTATCGCTTTAAATAGACCTGTTCTTTTTCCGGCTTACTGAAATTTGCAGCTGATGTGTTATTGACCATGTCGTTTTAAAGCAGCATTTATTATTGAAGGCACGTAATGACGTAAGCTCTGTAAGGTATTATTCATTGATGGTGATGTCATTTTGTGACTCTTTAACTAGAAAATTATGCAGAGGAGACGGCCTTGATGGATTAGTCGCAGGATAGATTGGGCGGAGGTAGTTGAAATAATATCGTAGAGAAATGCCATGACATTTCAACATGACAATCTTTAAAATGAAAAACTTCTTCGCAAGGTAGTGTTCTCATTGATCCTCCTGCTCAAAAATATGGTGGCATGATGTACTTCTTAGCAGAATATTATCACAATGTTATCCCCTATTGCGAAGAGTAAGATAAAAGACTGCTTACACTACAAAAGGCATTTCCACGTTATTTTAACCAGGGTGTCAGTTTTGAATTGCAAACTCACATCTTTGCCTTTTTAAAGTGCCTTGAGAATGGTTCGAAGAAAAGTTCGCACGAACTCGGCTTGGAATGAAACGCACATTTTCCGCCGAGAAACATCTAATGTCCGTCGTCTGATTTCAAACGCTGTCCTGTTCATGTCTGTCTTTTCCCTCTCTATACGCTTCCCTGCCCGATGTTGGTTTATGCGGCAGTTTCCGCTGTCGGCGCTTCAACTTTTTTTCATCACAAAAGTTTGTTTTTTCAACAAAAGTGCGGGACGTCATTCTCAGCAGTTCCACCTGTCCTCTTCGACTGTCTTCCGTCCTTTCCATGTCTGTCTTTTCCCCCTCTACGCTTCCCTGCCCAGTTCCACCTGCCTACTTCGACTGAGCTTAAGAGAGCGAGAGGGGCGAGGGAATGGCTCTCGTTCCTTGCAGGAGCCTGTCTGACAGTGCTCGTACAGGTTCTTGACTAGGTTTTAACCGATCATGTCGAGAATGACCTGGTGTCATCAGAAGTTGTAAAATCTTAATTGTAGTGATGAAATTTGTCGACGTCGGGGGATGTAAATTGAAATATACAGGGCCAGTACCCAAAAAAAGAAACCCAAATGTCGGGACTGTTGTTTTAGTGAAAAAAAGGTGTGCGTTCTTTCAGCAAAACGAAAACAATTCACACCCATCCCTAAAGTGATTTGTTGTCGTTTTGCTGAAAGACCACTTTCCTTAGGCCCTATTGTGATATGTGGACAGGACTTTGAAACGGTGTTTAAAATTCCCTAACTTGAAAATTACATGAGTGATTTGTATTATCATTGCACTACAAGAAAGCTTATGAATTTTGCTTTCATATCTTAGATTTTGAAAGTGCTGCACACAGAACTTCACTAAAACAATGGTCCCGACATTTGGGCTTCGTTTTTTTTTACTCACCCTGTACAGTGAATGACCTGCTGGGATTGGTCTTCATTTGGGATCGTGGGTTCTAGAGAGAGATGTATAACCCAATACATTGCATTGAACAGAATACTTGTTGGTGTCTTCAATCCATCTCCGCAAGCCTATCCATCGTCTGCCCTTGTTAATAAAGTTGTGGTCTTTTATCTTTCAAAGTGTTAATTAGAGCACGTTTCAATTTTTGTCAACAGCTAACGACCTGCGATCGAGATGGATGTACCTCAGGAAGATTCCGAGTGGAAGACGGTGAGCGAGATGAGGTAAGAACGAGTCAGTTCTCCTTCAGAGAACCAAAAATGCTGAATTCATTTCAGCTTGTTGTTCAACTTACAAACTAATGATATCATTTTCCTCCCCGAATCCGGGTCAGATTTGACCTGACACTTTAATTGCGGGTCAAATGATACTTCTCTTCGTCAAAATGACATTTGTTCGTGTCAAAATGACATGACACTTTACTGAGTTGCATAGCCTGGAAAAAGTTACTAAGAGAAGTGCAATTTTGAACCTAAAAACGTGCCATCTCAAATCTGACCCGGACTCGAGTCGAAACCGGGTCAGATTTGACGTGACACTTTTGCGGGTCAAAATGACACTTTTCTTTGACAAAATGAAACTAGCCTGGAAAAAGAGAAATGCACTTTTGACCCCAAAATGTGCCAGGTGAAATCTGACCCGGACTCGGGTCGAATCCGGGTCAGATTTGACCTGACACTTTTGCGGGTCAAAATGACACTAGCCTGGAAAGAGAGAAATGTAATTTTGACCCAAAAACGTGGCAGGTCAAATCTGACCCGGACTCGGGTCGAACCTGACCCGTGACTTTTAAGAGTGTATACACAGTATTACAAGAATGAAATTGGAGGATGACACACAGTATAAAAATTGGTCTTTTCTCCAAAGACTCTTTCATTTCTTAAAGTGTAAAAGGAAACCTCTAACAGACTGGCGTTCCAGAAACTACATTATTCCAAAGTTTTGAGTTCAGCACATTATGTTGGCTACAGGAAAGCTTGACTACTGCATTCAATGGACTTTCTCACTACATAGGCCAAGGTTCGTCCGTCTGAAGACAAATTGTGTGGACATGAGTTGCTCTGAATACGTTTTGGTTCGGCGACTTTCGAATGTAGTGCTGCACATTAACGAATTGCTCCGTTGATTTCACGTGCCTTCGCACTAATGTGCCTCGAAAGCCTGTTGCCAGGACGACGCCCTAGTAGTCAGGTGCTACTTCGATCACGGTCATGTCCTTCATATCCCAATTAACGTTTGATCAGGTTACAAGACCAGGAAATGATTAAGTTGAATATTTAATGACTTGTAGTTCGCTTAACAGTACGTCTCACCTGAACTATTGCACGATCTCTCTCTCTCGCTGTTATTAACTGGAGGCACGTTTTGACAAAGTAACTGTTACAATAGTCGAGTTAATGCACTTTTTTGATGTGAAAATGGGCAATTTGTTTAATGGCTTGGACTCCCGGCGGGAATATATCTCTTTCAAACAATCTTCGCGATGGCAAATAACCCCAGGCTGCTTAGTACGGGTCCCAAATGGGCAGCGTGGATCGGTCGAGTCAGCTCCCCGGGGGTTTCGGCGCTAAGACACGGGCCACGATTCGTGTCGCACGCGGTGAAAGCGCCGGCGTGTTTGGTATGCATCATAATTGGGATTTTGTTTCGTATGTCACTCGAGAGTATTTCCCTTGTGTCGTTTTAAAGCCTACAGTGATTTTTTGTTTGTGAAAAATGTTTGTTTTTTGGGTTGATGTTGCTCGTCAGCTTTTGTACTAGGCATCTGGAAATCTGATACTTGTCCACACTGAATACGCAAGGCACGCTTTTAAGTAGAAATGCTGAACAATGTTCAACCAAACAAATATGAGGCTGTTTTTGAGTAAGTGTTGTTTTACGCCTTCCTTATTTTTCTAAGTTAGGTATTAGAAACAGAGCAAAAAAGGTGTTGTCCTGGTATGTAGTGGGCACGTGTGGTGTAGCGGTAGAGCACAGGCCCCATGATCGTGGGATTGTGGGTTCGAGCACCGCCGTGGTCATGCGTGTTGTGCCCTTGAGTAAGGCACTTTACCACAATTACTCCTCACAAGCCAGGTGTTAAATGGGTACCGGCATTATTCAATGCTGGGAAGGTAACAAACTCGCTGTGGAGGAGGTGTGGCAATCCCCCCACAGCAGCAGCATTACATTGAGTCAGAGAGATGGGCACTCCGTTCTTGTGAACACAGGTTCGTCCCCTTAAATTATACCCCCACCCTTACCTAGTTTGCAGGGAGATTATCTTTAAAAGAAGTATAAGCAGTTATTAATCTCCAGCATCTAGCAGTGCAATAAACATTATGTGATTAAGCCTAACAAGGTAATTAGTCGCACATTTTCAAAGTTGCTTTCGAGTAAAATACCCTTTTTTTCTACCCACCCCCCCCCCAAAAAAAAAACTCGCGCAAATGAAGTCAACAGGAACAACTGACATTTCCACCCATTATTGTATTTGAAGGTGTTAAAGATCATATAGATTAACTATCCCTTACAGTCCTGAATCCTCCAATTTTAATATGATTTTGCACACCCCCTAGGGAGTTCGGGTTAATGGTGTAAGTATGTCCAGGGGTATCTCTACGCGTGCTCTCCTTTGCTTGTACAAGTCGCTGGTTCTGCCACTTTTAGAGTACGGGCTGCCAGTGTGGAACCTTCACACTCAAAACCTAATTGACGACTTGGAGCGAGTTCAGAGAAGAGCATCGCGTATAATCCTGAAGCAGCGAAGGATGGAAATGTCGTATCAGGACAGGTTAACAAAACTTAACTGGCAAACACTGCAATCCCGTAGGAAGTATTTATTGATTTCGTTTATGGCAAAGTCCCTTTATAACCAGGTGATCAGTGAGGCAGTTTCTAGACACATTAAGGTTAACTGTAGACATACTGATGACGTCAGGTTTATACATCTCGTCTCTAGAACTCATTGTTTACACTGCTCTCCCATTCATGCATTTCCTAAACTCTGGGATGAATTGCCTAAACAGCTTCGTATTGATTTTGTGACAATTTCGCTGAATTCTTGGTTAAGAAGCCTGAAAGATTTTGTTTGCTCTTCTGAGTGAATTGTAATCATCTTCCTCGCTCCAGTCTTTTTAATGTGTTTGTTTTATATAATATGCAGTTTTTTTAATATATAATTCCTATATTCTCTGCAATATTTTTGGTTTTTGTGTGTTTTAATTCATTGGGTTTTTTTCCATCATAAGTCTTTATTTAAGCACTTTTCTCAACTCTAGCCGGTTTTTTTTTCTCTTTCGTAAAAGTTTTGGTTTTTACGTCTAAATTCAGTGTTGTTTTCTTTCATTCTGTCATTTGTTTTTCTGTCATCATCCTTCAGCATTCTTTTGATCATGGTAATTTTTGTTATCTTTCCCCGCTTAAGTCACCTAAGATATTTTTTGTTGTTTTAATTTATTCATTGTTTTGTATCATTGCCTTTTAATCATCCGTCCCCGTTTTAGTCATATTTTGTGTTTTTTTATCTCGGTAATCTCCCTCAATTTTTGGGTTCATGTTTAAATTCATTGGGTTTTTTTTTCTGTCAGTGTCTTTCTTATGGAACGTTTTAGTGCTTGTTTATATATGTATATATAATGTACTTGCTTTTTATGTAATAATATGCTCTTTTATGGCTTTAAAATTTTATTTTTTTTTAATCTATTTTAGCTTGTTTTAACGGTGCAGCAGGTCCTCGGACCACAGTACTTGTACTTTTGCTGTTCCTTGCCTTTCTTTATAATGTTGGGAGAATGGCTAAATAAATAATAATAATAATAATAATATCTACATATAAAGCTGATTGTTATAGCAAAATAAATGCCAAGTAAGGCCCTCTTTTGGAGATATTTTTCTTGTGTCCCAAACACATTTGCCCTTTTTAAACTAATCAACCTGAAAATGTAATTTGTCTTGTATTTGATTCGCTAGACTTGTTTTTCATAGTCTCTAAATTGCAAATGGTCGGATGGCCAGACACAATTTCATATGAAATATTAAAATGTCGGTTGGCAAGATTTTCTTTCTTTGATCGTGCCGCATTTGGCCTATACCGGCACCAACCTTGGGCATTTTCGGCAGCCCTGGAGTATTTTCGGCTGCCCTGGACGGGCCAATTTTACAGTCTGACTGTTTTAACCCACACATTGTGCCCGCGGTTTCACAGTCATTTATTAACTTTCCATTCTCCACGGACATTCCACAGCCTTCCTCTTTTAACGACATTGTGTGCCTATGGTATCGAGCCAATTTTCTTAAAGGAACAATATTGACACAGATGTTCAATTCAAGAAGTCCTGTAAATGTTTTGTTTTCAAATTTCAAGACAAACGAATCGATACACAGAGCTGTCAAAATTTGGAATTGCGAGGAAGTGCAAGGCATTGCCAGTGTGGCAGTTTAACAAAGTACTGAAGAAATCTTCAAATCATCGGAAATGCAATTTAAGTTAACTACATTCACAACGTGTAGCAAATTGTTTACTCTTTTGCCTTAAGGAATTCACTGGTAACGAGGTTTGAATCAATCGATACCGGCCGTCTTGGACTTATGCTTGTGACGCTCGTTCTTACAACGGTTTAAAAAAGCAATGTGCCTAAAAATAAACGGTGACCCCTCAAGACAAGTGGTGTTTGTCTAATAACGCCTGAGTGGATACGCAGTGCCTATAAAAACAGCGAAAACAAACAACTTCAAAACCGGAAATTTGAGTGTTGCAGTATTTTGTAGATTCTGGAGCGACTGAGACAATGTAACTGTCGAAGGCACGTGCCATGATATTAATCATGTATATTTTATAAGCTGGTTGCTCATTTCAACTTATTACCGTTCGAAATATGTTATTACCTCCATACAAATTATCCTATGTGGTCCTCTATAGGCCTACCTTGTAAAAATATTGACCTTTCCCCTAGTAATATATTTTGGAGTCAGTAAAAAAAAATGTCATAGACAACCACAGATTGACAAAAAGCTTGTACAACTTGTAAGATTTTGACATGAGAAACAGTCATACTTTACTCCAGGTTGACCCTTATTAGAGTCAGCAGGGTGGAAATAAAAATTGCTCAAAGTTTTTAAAATTCCTTGTCTTGAAATTGTTGACTGAAAAGTCTGCACGGAGAATACGAATCTAGTCGAAAGCTGAAAAAAAGTTGTGTGAGTTGTTCAATAGCGGGTTGCTTTCCAGTAAGTTCTAGTCAGTATGGTGACTGTGTCGTTCCAGGCGTGCGCGAAGACATGACTCGTGAATTAGACTGGAGGTAATACGCTCCAGTTGCTGTGCAACTGATGGTGGTTCACTGCATCCTAAACTAGGTCGCTCGAACGGTCAATTTTCTCCATGTCAAGAGGCTGAATGGTTCACCCTTGTAGAATCTTCTTCGCACAAATCAGCTTTTTAGAATCTTCTTCGCACAACATGAAAGAGAGGGAAATGTATTTCAAGTACCCACTTTCGGAGTACGCTCTTCTCAAGTTAGGTCGCATGAATGTGACAATTTTCTTACATGACAAGAGGCAGAACATGTTCAGCCATTTAGAGTCCTCTTTGCACAACATGACAAAGAGGCAAAATGTATTTTAAGCACCCACTTTCTTTCAAGGATTAGGTCGCATGAAAGTGACAATTTTCTTCACAGCAAGAGGCTGAAAATGTCCAGCCTTTAAGAACTGGCCAATTACAATTTTCTTCGCACAACAAGACAGAGATGAAACTGTATTTCAAGCACCATAGTCTCAGAGCACACTAGGTCGATGACAATTTTCTCCACAACAAGAGGCTAAAAAATGTTCAGCCTTGAAGAACTGGCCAATTTAAATCTTCAACGCTCAACATGACACAAAAGGAAGTGTATGTCAATTCCCCTCTTTCAGGGTACACTGCTCCTTAAACTTAGGTCGGCTTAAAGTGACAACTCTCTCCAAGTGAAGAGGCTGCAAAGGTTCAGGATATAAGAACTTGCCAATTATAAACTTCAATGCTCAACATGACAAAAAGGAAGTGCATGTCAATCCCCCTCTATCGGGGTACTGCATGCTCCTTAAACTTCAGTCGGTTTAAAGTGACAACTCTTTCCAAGTGAAGGTTCAGGAAGAACTTGCCAATTAGAATCTTTAATGCTCAACATGGCAAACATATAAATGAAAGTCCAGCGCACTCTTTCACGGTCCAGTTCTCTCAAATTTAGGTCAAACTGAAGTGTCAATTTCTTCCTCCATGTCAGACAGCTGAGAATGGTCGGCCTTTTAAGATCCAGCCAATTATAAAATTTTCAACGCTCAACATGAAAAATAGATAGTGTAAATCCAGCGCACTCTCTCCCTGGAGTACAATGAAGCTATTCAACGCGTTCGTTTTCTTGGTTGTATGATAAGGCGAATGTACTTTGAGCGAAGATTGAGTGCTTTCAATGCGATTCCACACCGCATGAGACTCGATTAGCTAACCATTCGATCTGACATTATGCATTCAGCGATACGCACTGTGTATAACTGAGCCTGAGCTACGGATTTTACACATTAAACCAATCGAAGCTGTAAAACGAGTCAAGCCTTCTTGAGACATGTGAAGGCGGAAAGGGGGCTTTAAAGATCAAAGGCAACTAGAAATGAGAAAAAAGAAGACGGTTACGTGTATGTCCACACTTTAATGAAACTTAATTTTACAACTAATCGTATAGTTCTTTTTGTTAATTGGTAATTATCGGAGATTTGCTCTGATTTTTCACAACTGTCCGCACTGTGGTCGCTGGTGGCGCTGTTGGAATTTGATTTTGATGACATTGCCAGGGAAAAAAATGGTGTTTTCCTCTTAAGAAACTATAGACTCGTAAACGTATCCCCCACAAAATGAGGTTACAGTGATTATGATATTCATCATATGTAAATGAAGCTTCGACGGCGGTGTCGTTATTAGAGTGCTGCAGCCACATATTGAACTTAACAATTTTTGCAATATTTGTTTTAAAAGCAAATTAAAATTAACCCTAACTATCAATCATTTTCAAATCCTTTTTTCTTTTAATGTTAGAGTTACTTTTAAAGACAAAACAAAAAGACTGAAAACTCTATAGGAACACGTTCCAAATATATCCTTCGATTTTTTTTTTTTTTAACCTGGACAATTAGTCGTTTACTACACATGCCACCTTTTATGCATGGGAATGCATCGATGTCGCAACTAAATTCCTTAATATTTCTATAGACAAATAGCCATATTATCAAGGTTTGTGTCACCTCTTTCCCCTCAAATGAAAGTTGACTATATTCCTTTTTGGATCAATCTTTAACATGATGAACCGAAAGTGACTTGCCAAAAACAGAGCTGTCGACAATAATGCTCGTTCAACTCTTCCAACGCGCGAAAAGCGTACGGACGGCTGCCCGATAATATCGAAAGAGAATAGTTAACTTTGTTTAAATATTGATGAATAACCCCAACCTTATTTACAATGAAGCAATAGCGTTATTAACAATAGCAGCTGAACTGCGGCTAGAGAAATGAATAATAAAAAACGAATCACCTACTGAATTTACTCCAGAGACAGCTGTGCTGACAAGCCGTGCGAAAGTTGAATACTCGCGACTCGCGTAAATATTTAAAAGGGAAAGTGTCAACAAGGTATTACATTTAAGGCACTGCATTATTAATATCGGGGGGAAAGGGTAACTGTTCTTGTTCGTTGTTGCTATGTAATGAATTTGTATTATTTATGTTGTAAGTGGTGTTATAATTCACAAAATGGGACTTGAGTTTGTCGCACGTCATGTCAGTTTGATACAGGCGTTTTTTAACTACCGGTATACCTAATCTTTACGCACCATTCATAAATACCTAAGACAGCTTGCCATTCCTATTGGTCGAGAGCCTGTCACGTGGCCGGTCTTAAACGATTGATAAAACACCGGTTGGCTGGTCTTAAACACTTTTCCAGTGTCACATGAAAATTGGTCTTCTATGAAATCCGGTCCCTTTTTACCCTGTTATTGGTTGAACGTTCACAATCCTCGGTTAAGCATGCGCAATACTACCAATGAGTCCGTATGTCATAGTCCTACATTCGCACTACACCAGCACAGCTGCGTTTTGCGCCGCATCGCGCACGGCTACTCACAAGAGGCACATGAAATAGCCAAAGGGGTGTTTAAAAAAACATGAAGTATACTTTATGTTTACTTGACGCTGATAATGACCCGAGCCGGAACTCCAAAACGGTCTGAAACATAGTGTTTAAAACCGGCAAAGCACACATGTTTTCCCTTATAGATAATGTTTGAAATTTGAGTTTAAAAAAATGTTATTATATTCTTACCATAAAACAGGAGTACGATTTGGTGATAATGAAATTTACTTTCATTTCAGGTTTTTTTTTTACCAAACTAAGGCAGTTGGATCCTCTGAGAGCCTTTTTTCAAGGACATTTAAACTGTATGATTTTGAAATGAAAAATACGATGCCAACATTACCAAATTATAATTACCGTCAGTCTGACTTCATTTCTATTAACTCTATTTTACGTTACTATTGTTTTTATTGCATAATTCATGAGCCTCAACTCCACCTGCTGTGATGAGACGAGACGTATAGACATTATGCGTTGAGGTCTCTCGGAGGTTGTTCTTTGTTATTATTCACAAAAGAGTTACCCATGCCCACCCAAGGGATCTAATACATTGGCCTCTAACCCCGCCTTAACGCAATAGGTCTATTTATAGCAAAGGCATGTTTTTGAACTGACACTTTTTAGCCTTTAAATCATAAAGAGGGTTCTAAAGGGAGTCGATTACCTTAAAATCAAACTAATCGATTCTTTTTTTGTCTCTTAATAATAGATGTCCAATCTGGCCACCGGCACCGACATCCACCTGGAGAACCCTGAATATGAGACGCGCTGGTATTTCAAATACTTCCTCGGCAAGAGTAAGTGCACCATGAATTTTTCATTTATCCTGGCTGTCATTCAAAACAATCTTCTCGCCAGATTCTCTCTTTTTTTAATACCGCAAGTAAGAGATTTCAAGGGATCAGCCCTCAGGCCTATAAGCGTGGAATTATAGTATTCTCCCTGCAATTTCACTCACATAAGTGTTGTTTTAAATCACGATCGCGTGTTACATGCCCGCGGGCATGTCGCGACGGTTGAGTTGACGGGACGAAGAATGTGGGCAAAATACAATTCACGCGCGAAGTACGGTTGGGAGGTTTCTTAGAGGATACACAAGATGTATCAATGTGTTTGAATATTTTGGACTGCTCCTTCTGCTATTGGACAATTCCATCATGATGGAAGGAGCTTAAAGTCCGTGACAGAGCCAAATTAACCATGATATCTAATCAGTGATTCAGAGAAATGATCCAAAACTCCTAGTCTGTAATCTCCTTGACCATTACTAGATGGTGGATGTACAAGATTTGAAAAATACGTTTTCAGATTTATTCACTGAGCTCTTAAAAGTTCTGTCACGCGCGGACATGACATAACGCTGGAATGTCTGACGATATCTCTAAGGGATTACATTTTGATTTGTCTCTGTTTTTCTCAATCGAAGTGAACTGTCTTATTTCAGTTGCAGCGGCGCTTAAAATAGTTCAAGTTCTACGTAGAGAATGTATGCATGTCCCTATGACACAAAGCCAAATCGAGGCTTGGATTGTTTTCAAAATGCAGAACACGGACACGTCTTTTGTGGTAAACTCTCTTGCCCAAGTGCATGACTTCGCAACGTTTGCAGTGCCACAAGATGGGTAACCACTCCGAGAATGAATTACATTGAACTTTAACATTTCGTACTGCTCTGAACCTCACTCTTCGAACAAATTAATAAGTACCTCTGAAATCTGGATACTTGTTAAAGAAACCATCCTCACTCTCAGCGGATCATTGCAAGGCCAGCTGCCTTGTTTTTTTTTAAAGTCTGAAACGAGGGAAATTGGCAAACACTTCAAATTGCCATTCGGGTAATTAAATTTAATTGATTTGGTCAATAGTGTACTGACCCTGCAGTAATTTTTGTCTGCCTGGGTGATCGTCAAAATGTCAAAAGGTGAAGTGCCGGACAAACGGTTTTGTTATTTTTTAAATTTGTTTTGCGCAAACTAAATTTGTTTTACGTAGACGGAAAAGGTGTTGAAAGCACAATCGAGTGTCAACAATATTTCATTGTCTAATTTGCATATTTGTTGTTGAAATTATTGACGTCATTCACAACATTGTTGACAGGTATACTCAATCATTACCTCGTGTGGAAATCTGGAAAGAAAAAGTGCATGAGGGTTGTTGATTGTTCCCATGGTGCTTCAAGGGAAATTACTTTGAAGGGCTTCGGAGTATATTTAACTCCTCGTCTCTATTTAAATATCAAATTAAGATAAACAAATGAAATCAGCTCTTTGAATAAACGTCAACTATTGAAAACAAATTATGATATATTACTTCAGGTACAGGGTATTGTTTTTCTTCATTCGGGCGAGGTTTTAGAAGACAGATATTAAAAACGTTTTCATTAACACAAAAAATAGCTTACGGGCCAAAGTTCCGTGTGATGTTTATAACTTGTAACAAGGTCTCTGAATTTTCCTTAATACTTGCCGGGCAGTTGTCCTGCTAAGCAACAGCATGTTTGGGTTCAGCCTATATAACAGTGGGCACTTTCGCTTACCAATATAATACTTTCTGCTTATTTGCTACATCAAAATTGCCGTTAGATGCCCATAGATTTTTCAAAATTTGAAACACTAGAAAATAGCCAAAATTGACTGGGAAGTATAGGGTCTTTAGGGTGCGATCGGAAAAAGGTCAAAATCAGATTTCTGGTTCAGTTGAGTTCAGTCCGGTCCATTTTTATTTTCACAGTGTTCACAAATAGATAAGTCAAAGTGTTACAATAGGTACACGTTTAACAGCGGAGTGAAAAATGTAGAGTTGTGCGCCCATAAGAAGCATATAGCTTGTAAACATGGCCCCTATGGAGTACCGAAGTGTGACGTCAGTTAGAACCAGAAAGTGTAGTGCAAAATGAGTGCAAACGAATGAAGTACGCTTGCGTGTTGGTTCACGGGCTGAATCACGCGCCACTGTCTTTCACACACATTTTGTGCGTGTGACGTATTCACTTCGGTACTCCATACATGTAATTTGACCTAACAAGGAATATACATATAACACAAATTTTTGAAAACCGAGTGATATCAACATGCACAAAGCGAATGCCGCATTTATGAGATGATTACTATACTCAACAATAATACAATATACAATACAGACAAAGAACGACAGGGTACCAGACAAATGAAGAGTATTGTGAAACATTTCCTGTAAAATCTAGAATGGGAATCTCATCCAAAGACAAAACTATCGGCGTGTGATCTCCGTTGCTACAAAATCACCAGTCATTTCACTAAATTATTAGTCAGTAGAGAAGTGTGTACATTATTTATTTCAGAGTTTTAAACAACCTAAACCCGTTTGCCTATTCTAGGTTCCCCCAAATTGCCCTAAACTCCAAATTATTCATGTCTGTGACATTTTGACCGATCCGTTGTCGCCAATAAAACCTTCATAACGTCGCCTCAATAAGACACTGTAGTGGCTGGGGAAAAGTCTGATTATTTTACAGCATTACCCATTCGCGTTACTCGCATGGTCGGTGAAGCGCTAAGGCGCTCCTGTCCAGTTGAATATCAGAAATTAATTGGCACGCTCGGAGCCTGTACAGTACTCGTTCATTGTATAAGGGTTCAGTGCCTCGCTGTCAGTGCGATTATCAAAATACTGCCATCTGTATGACATTGTCGATATTAAAAACATGTTTTTGATTCATCCAGATGTCGGATGTACCTGAAAATGTAAGGATTTATTATTACTGTACCCTTGCTGGAGGTTTGGGAATTATATAGCTGTGGGTTGAGAAACAAAGGAGAATAATTGACTACACTATCGTTTTGAAAATATAACTTTCCTCTTTTCCTCTGATGCATGACTTATTTTGCCAAATAACCAGGTTTGTTAACCAAATTATGGGCTAATATTTGGCAATAGTTATTTACAACTACTTAAGCCTTTTGTTTGATTGATATTGTTGTCAATTTTGCCGTTCTTTCAACTATGGTTTTGTAGTTAATTTGATCGTTACAGAGTTGCCATTGAAGACGGTTTCGAAATAAAGATTCGTCCAAAATGGTTTTGTTTTGTATAGCTGTAACACCTGTCTACATTATGTTGCTACATTTTCCCCTCGTGTGATCAACTCAGCTGTTGGGCTAATTGGTTATCTAAGTGCTTGAATCTTTATGTCCTGCCTGGCCACATAAACACTCCATGAAACTATTCCGTCTGGCTTGCTGTCATTTAGGAGAAATCAAGAAATAAAGGTGATTTCCAACGATCAATCAGTTTGACTGATCGTTGGAAATAAAGGGTTCTGTTGACGAAATCATGTTTCGTGATCAAAAGGTTGTGCATGGTTTCCACCGTTTTCACGTAAAGAGTAATATCCACTGAGCTGAAACTTCCAACAGGTTAGGTTTTGAACATTCTTCTTTGGAGTTGGAGTTGGGTTATTATTGGAACGAACAAAATGCATGAAAAGCGAATGATCCTTTACGCCTTTAATGCGTCTATTTTTCTCTCCTCCAGTACATCAGAATTACGTGGGTCTGGACGTCGACAAGCGCGTAGTGTTCCTGTCCGTCGTTCTGACAGACGCCAATAACCACAACGTGCCCCAGTACCGATCGATCCTATGGCGGACCACGGTAAGTCATGACGTCACGGATGACGTCACGGTATCCCACAATGCACCCGGACTCTCGCTCCGTCGTATTACGTGGTTAATGAGGCGGATGTGGCTCTTCATGCTCGATTTGATGTGACTTTTTTTGTCTGTGCCTGCAAGCACTGTCATGTCTATTTTGGTGATAATCAATCTGTTTACATTTGGTATAACTGTCGAGAAATTACAAAACTGTTTTTACTGCTGAAAGAGGAAGAATAAAAAAAACCTATGTTTAGGTAACAAAACAAATCAATCGATGCAAAAACTCGATGATACATCAGTCGTTAAGACGTTTAAGTACAAACTATAAATAAAAAAAATGAACAATGGGATCAATATCGTGCCCAAACATCAACTCTGGTTTTAGTTTCAATATTTTTTTCGGGATCTACCTTTAAATGTAGAGTTATAAGTAAGATCAGCGAATTTCAGTGAATTATATAGTAATGAAACCAATGATTCCTCAAAAGTGCCGTAGGCACTGTAGCTCGCAAGCCTGAGAAACCTGTAGAGAGAAGACAGTGGGAAAAAATTACAGTTTTAGAGGTGGGAGGAAAACCTCAGCAGGATATTCTTGGGGAAACCCACGGAATCAGGTAGGGTCAATCCACATGTACGTGGTCCGTACAGGAATCGAACCCGAGCCTTGGCGGTGGAAGGCAAGGAAAGTAACCACTGCGCCAACATGACTCCCCGTTTTAAAAGTCAAATCTCGTCATGTATATCTGACTTCCGACCAGCTGCGTACCTTTCAGATCAGCTTCAAAGCACAACATTGTGATATCATCTTTTGCATGACATCTTATTACTGCGGTTCATTTTTTACGTGTGCTCTTCCCGCTATAACGACCCAATCTTCCACACCGTATCATGACTACATCACGAACATTAAACTGCAATCTTAATTACCTCCTCTCTCTTTGTGCAGGGGACCCAGAAAATCTGCATCCCGTACAACCCGGCCAAGCCCATGTCAGTCAAGAGAATACTCAGGTGAGACCGAGCACGCTAAATCATGGCGCGCCACATGTAGCAACATTAATTTTATTCCCTTGGCCTTTGACGGACGTGATGCTAATTGATGGAAACGTGGAAACATTAGCGTTTTGGGAGACGACGCTGAAAACGAAAGGCCAAGCACGCGCGGTTGTTTTTTTTTAATTCTAGATTTCTACCCTCCTCGATCTGTCTTGGATGGTTTATTGGTTGAATGGAGAAGAGTCAGCGCTTTGCATTAATCTTTCTCTTATTATCAATCTTCTGGAGCCGATGTTATGAGGCCCCGTCAATTCATCTTAGAGAACGATTCGCTATTGGATGTTATAAATCAAAAACGGTTAGAGTTTCCTCTCCAAACAGATTGCTGGTCGTCAAGATTGATTGAAAACCCTGAAGAGTAATTGGTTAGATTGTTTGTCAAGATTCGCTGCATATTGAAGGTTTAGTTGTAGAGAGATATGAACGAAAGGAAGTTACGTTTCTTCAGGGCAACATTATTCAGACAAGAATACAAAAGACCCAGTTATGCATGGTGAGTCAGAAAGACAGTGACTGAGTTATGCACAATTATTAAAACGATATCTGGCTCGCTAATAAAAAATATATGACGCATGAACAAAGAACATGCTATTGAATAGTAATTGAGAACATTTCACGTGGTTTTCATACTAATTTGAATAAGTTATTTCAATTTTTAATTGAAATACCACAAAATTCAGCTGTCCACAACAGATCATAATACGGAACTAATGAATACCCTTTAAATATAATAAACGAAAATTGAAAAGGAAAACTGACAAAAAAAACACCATATATCGTTTCACTAAGACGTGATGTATTCCTCATAATACAAAACACAAAACCTAACACTGAACATAATGTTTCAGTCTTGACTCAAATTAAATTCATTTGTATTTGAATGCCTGTGTGTAAACTCTGATTCGCACTCAACTCAATAGCTTCAAAGCATTTATCGTTTCATGGACAGCTGTTAAAATGTTTTTTTTTTATTAAAACATGAAAACTTCTGCTAGCATGGATCAATTTTAGTAATTTTTTTCCCCAGATGAGTGGAAGAACATGCTCGTTTAATACATGCTTCATTGGTGTGTCAAATTTAAATGCTTTTTAAGGGGGGAATCATAAACCGCTGTCATTTTCTTTTTGACTCATCCTGTAGGCCTGTAATTATTTATATCGTAAATTTATACCCACCCGAGTGATTTTTCCCCACTTTCACTCGGGAGGTAACACAGTCGGCTAAGGGCAAAATCTGATACTCATAATAATACATCGCACTGACGCAAATTCATCTTACGTATAATAATATCGTGTCACGTTGAAGCTGCTTCAGTTTGCTTCTGCATTCAATAGGGGACGTTGAACAATAGAGGACAATAGGGTCCCCAATTCCCGAGAGGTCCCTAATTTGGATTCGTGTACAAAACATATGTGAGGTCTTCCTAAAAAGTTAAGAGTACAAACAAAACAGGGACAGTAGGGGGTCCCCGATTGCAGGCAAATTAACACTTGGGCGAGTCTGCATGTGTTCGCGTTATTGGTACGTTCAGGGGTATTTATGACCAGCATTGGGGACTAAGAATGGCTGCACGAGTTCCTGACATGACAAACATGATTTCAAGATTAATTGTGATCCTAATTCTACACATGATAAGTGGGATGCACACATTCTAGAAATGTCGTTCGGTCTGGAATCTGCATCGTTTCATCAGTGAAACCCGACCGTTGGCAAGCTTAACCCTTGTAATGATATTCTCACGAGTCTCTGTGTGTCACGTGCGAGCGCATTAATACCAGAAAATGATTCTCCAACAGGGAACTGCACAGTCTAACAGACGTTCGCGAATTTCTTCTCCAGGTCTTTGCAAAATGAACTCGGTCTGCTGCACTGCGAAATGGCAGGTGCTTTGGGCTTTATGAGCTAGATACTTAAAGTACAAAGATGATAATGGTTCAAGATCAGCCATTTAGTTGGTATGAAAAAGCCTTCAACCGTACTTCAGAGAAAGCAGGTACAAACTAATCCCACGGCGATGTTTGGCACCTGTTTTAGGAAGGCATTAGCGCTTCAAAGCCGGTACTATCCTCGGCCCCATACAACCTATCCCGACCCCCATACCAACTTTCCCCGACCCCAAACCACCTACTTAGTAGTCCCTCTTCAAAAATGGTTTACGGAAGAAAAGGGAGCTTTTTCCGAGGAAAAAACCTAATCAGCCGGGCCATAATCATGAGAACATTCTCATCACAACACACTTTCAACCTGCCTGTTACACTAGGAGGAATCTCTCACATTTGTAGTAAGCCAAAATACCTGTAACGACTCCAAAAACGGGATTTCTTCATTTTTGACGGAAATATATCTGACGATATCTGACGAGTCAAGACTTTTCCCTTGTCGACGAGTGCCCCTATACATAGCCCTGATCTGTCCCCGCTCCGTTTTCCTCCCAACTCCCAAATCGATCGAATAGTTGACATGGTCGTTGCAATTTTCAACTTGACGACTGCCCCCTGAGATTACGAAAAACAAACTTGGAGGAAGTCTGTCCACGAATGAGGTGTTTTGTATTTGCGATCCTAGCTTGAGAGCTCGACTCGAGCCGTCAAAACAACGTCACCGTTGGGAAGACCGTCGCTCGCTGTTGATAAACTCCAGCAGCATTAATGTCGTGTATCATTGAATGCGATATAACTCGTATTCCCTCTAGGTATTTACGTCGAAAATAATATTTTCCTATCATGTTTGCTGTGACGACGACAATTATGTAGTTGTTCCCTTGGAGCTAAAGGTTCAGTCTCCGAAAGGTCATTGAACCAAACCTCATCTTTGGGATACTTATTTCGTTCATCGAATGTGGTCTGGCGTAAGCAGATCTAGCATAAATATTGCAACCAATAATTCTGACCAGCAAATACAACATGAAGTAATCTTTCAATATTTATATTTGTATTTTCTTTCTCCCGTTTGCAGCCGGTTCGACATCAAAATGGACAAGTCGCCTAAAGAGATTTTCACACCAGACATACAGAAGGTAACAAGATACTCAAATCCTAAAAAAAATCACCAAAAATACATCAAAATATTACGATAATTATTGAATTAAGAGCACTGTGTGTTATTTTTCTTTCTAGAGAATTTTTCTGACAATACATTTGGCATGGACATGCTTAAAAAGTAAGACATCGCATTCAACATCTCGAGAAGGACAAGTGCCTTTTTGATGGAAGGGTTTGCTTTTCACAATAGTGTTGTGAAGGTACTTCATGTTCAGTGCACTTCTGCCGAGAGCTTTTGATGTTGAAAGAAAACACTTCGCTGCTTCCTATCTCAGAGTTTGACGACTCCACTACAGAGCTTTGAGTCAGCTTACCGGTCAAATCCTACGCAAAACATTCCATCAAACTTCAAATAGTGCAACAGCGATTTGTTTTCACTGCAAAGTCGTTTCTCAAATTTACGCACGCGAACTTGTCCTTCTGCGTATCGTATCTCCAATATACAGCCGACCACGTCAGGAAACTACGGCTAGTTCATCAAATAAAAGTGGAGATTAATCCAAGCGAGATTGACAGTTGTCACTTTGTTCCGTGTTTGTTTTTTATTCGATTGTAACATTGAACGAAGTTGATCTTCGTCAAATGATGTTTGGATAGGCTTTGTATACATAGCACACGAGAGATGAAATTTGTAAGCGCATTAGTTTAGGAGCCTATCTTGTCACTCAAAGTGCACGTTGACGGTGAATTTCAATTTAATATTTTTTTCTCAGGAATTGTTGCTTCTTGAGGAGCAGGAAGGTTCGGTCAATTTCAAATTCGGGGTGCTCTACGCCAAAGAGGGGCAGAAATCGGACGACGAAATGTTCAGCAACGGTAAGCACAATGATTGTTAGATAAATTCACATTTCAGGTATCGATTTCATATAATTACCTCTGCCAATTAAGGAGGTTATGCTTTCATCGGATTTTTTTTGGTTGGTTTGGTTGGTTTGTCTGTTAACTAGATAACAGAAAAAGTTATGGACGGATTTGCATGAAAATAGTTTGATGGGTGGTCCTTGGTACACAAGTACAAATCAATTAAATTTTAGAAGTGGTCCAGATCTGGGTCCAAATCCAGGATTTTTTTCACCATTTGCGCGCGTATTTCTTTCTGGTGTATACTGACAATATGGCGGTGAATTGTTTAGCCTTGGCGGAGGTTGGAGCTCTCTGAGTGCTTTCTAGTTTCTTTTTCGTTTTAACAGAATAAGGTCCAATAGTTCGTCAAAATTAAAGTCTATTTGACATAATCTGACTTGTCTCCAGATAATTTACAAAGTTTTATATATGGTGATAACTTGTAGGCATTTTTTATCAGAGTTATCTTTTTGTTTTAGTAAAATATGGTGTTTTAGGTATGACTTACCCAATCAGTCCAGATGATGTTGAACACCGTACATCCAATAAAAAATATATATATCTTATCAAATTATTATGAACGAGGTTGAACATCAACCAACACAAAACATTAGAGATATTGGTATGAACATTAAATAATTGTGGCGCTTTTCAGGAGTACATTAATCAACTCTTGGTGGCGCTGTTAAGGGTTAACAAACACTAGGTGGCGCTGTTCATGATGAATATTAATTGCCGGAGTGGCTCTGCTGCTTTCCTTTTTTTGTTCCCCGTTTTACTCCTGTTTCTTTCGGAAATTACCTTGAAGGGATAACATGATCCTATGGCCCGTCCTTTAGGTCAAAAACCAGGAGGATTAATTCACCTCCACGTCTACTCCCATTGAATAACTATAGAATGTGAGTCAATAAAACCTCTGTTGTTGTTGTTTTTCGCAGAGAATGGCAGTGAGGAGTTCTATAACTTTGTCAGACTACTGGGCGACAACATCAAGTTAAAGAACTGGGACAAGTTCAACGGTGGTCTAGACGTCAAAAGTAATTTGACATGTGTTATAAATATAAGCAGACTTGACTTTTGGCTTGTTCTATAGGAGCCAGCCTATAATCCTCTTTGTACCTGACTGACTGACTGACTGACTGACTGGCTGTCACTTGTGAATTAGACTTGCATAAGTCTCACTTTGGCCAAAAATTTACTTGGTTGGTCCTAGAGGGCCCACCCTCTGTACCTACCTGACTGACTGATTGACTACTGGCTGTAACTGATGAATTAGACTTGCATATCTGCCCAGAACTTTGGATTAGATAACTACCTAGGATCTTTCGAACAAATTGGAGTGGGACAGCCTTACTTGTAGCCTTGTCTTTTAAGAGAGTCATAACATAGATCTTTTCATCCAAGAAATTTGAGCCGTTGGGACAGAAGCAATCACTAACCGGAAATGGGTACCACCTGAATTTGGTGATTTCACAGGAGAGAGGGTTGGGTCAGAACACATTCATCACAGGGAGGTACTTCCTGATTGGGTGCATCTTTGACACCAGACAAGCTTGGCTCGCTGACCAAACCCCCATGTGATCTTTCCTCTTTTGATTCTCAGACAACACAACAGGACTTGAGGCTGTGTATACCATGTACGAGGGACACGAAATCATGTTCCATGTCTCCACTATGCTCCCGTACTCCAAAGACAACAGACAACAGGTGAAAAAGTTTAAAATAATCTATAACCTCATCTCTGTTTTTGTACACTCATTCCTAGCAACATTGATTTTCTTATATTTTTTCTCTATTATTGAAAAATGAGTCATGTATTGTGGTAAAAGTTTCATTTGAATAACCCTATAGAAAAATATTTCAATTGATTTCAATTAGACACAATTTGAATATCAATTCATGAAATATATTTGAACTTGAAAGGAAAACCTTCGTCTTAAGTCACCCAGAAGAATGACACTTTTTAGAAATTATATATTTTTATTAATAAGTAGTCTTCCAGTACGGGTGCAAGCGCACTTTTCTCTTCCGGTTTTTAAATCCATGGACTAAAGTCAGGTAAAAATTTAAAAGTTCCTTAAGTAGAGAAGTTCCTTAGTTACAAATTGTCTTGGGGAATTAAAGCTCGTGCTATGAAGGGAAGAGTTAAAAGTCAATTCACACAACGGTCCTAGTGGGATTCGAACCAAGGCCACTAGAGTTGCAAGCTTAAGGCTAAAAGCATAATACGGTGATAAAAACAAAAGCAACCCTTCTGCGATTGTCATACGTAATTTAGTTGAAGCCACAGGCCCAGTTTGTTAATAGCTTTCACTCTTAACACTGGGGGTCTAATCGCTATTAATTGAGGAGATTACAAGCAATTCCCACGCCGACTGAGGGGCGCCCTTAATCAGCGCTTCAAATATTTAAAATGGGGAAGAAGAAAAGGGAAAAAAAAGAAACTAGAGATTATATGCTTTGAGACTCGCTCTATCGGAGCGACACATGCGGCGAACATTAGTCGAGGCGAATGAATATTTGAAGGACTTAAAAGTCGCTCGTGAGTGGGAAAGGGCGAAATTTCCCGCGCTGTTTGAAGCTGTTTGGCTCTAGGTCGATACTAAACCCATTATGTTGCCGCATTGCCTGGGACGTACGCTGCATCTCCAATCAATAACAACATGAATATCCACGAAACATGCTCCAAACGTGACGCTACTGACAACTACTCTCTGTTATCTTTAAGCTCCATTTTTTTAACGAATGGGCAAAGGTGACAGCCACATTGACGGTCTATATTTTTATTAAAATCAATTACATGAATTTTCATCGTAAATAAACCTCCCACAGTTTCATAACAAAGTCTTAAAAACAACATTTTAAGAAAATAGTACTGTACAGAAAAAAAATAACTATTGTTAGATTAGAAAAGCAGCTGCAGACATTTTATTTTTGATTTAAATAAACAATTACGTCCACATAATTTAATTGTCGACATAAAATAATACAGGGTGAGTAAAAAAAAAAAACAAGCAAAATGTCGGGACTATTGTTTTAGTGACGTTCTGCATGTAGCACTTTCAGAATCTAGGATGTGAAAGCCCAATTTATAAGCTTTCTTTTAGTACAAGAATCATTCAAATCACTCATGTACTTTTCAGGTTACGGATTTTTCACTGTGTTAAAATTTATTTTGGCTACGGTTTTGACAATTTCACTATATCGGATGCGGCTGCTGCTAAAGTGGCTGCCGTAGCTATAGGCACTGTCTGTGTAGTGCTTATTTTTGTTTAATGTTTGACGGTGTTTCTACTGACATTTAGGTTGAAAGAAAAAGGCACATCGGCAACGACATTGTGACCATAGTCTTTCAGGAACAGGAAAACCCGGAAGCCGAGCCTACCTTCAAGCCGTCCATGATCAAATCACATTTCACCCGTATCCTTTCTGACCTCGTAAATTCAAGATTCCGTTGTAAAACATGATTTCGAGTGCCATTTTAACAAAGTACGCAAAAGTTAGTCTTTTTTGAAGAAGAAAAAGTTGTCCCGGGTTTTGGACGAAGGAACATATTGAAAATAAGATACATTCAAGTTATAGTCATAAAGTATTAATTCGTTAATTAAATCCTTAACTTTATAATTACCAGATATATTTGCTCTAGTAACGTTTAACAAGTCAGCTAATTCGTACAGGTAGGTAGGCCGCTATGGTACGAGTTTTCCGTTGAGCTTATGAGAAAGATTAAATTTATGAAACTTGAGTCATATTTTGAATTGATTGACGTGTGGTTAACAGGTGATTATTACTTGGATCGTAATCGACTCATGATTGACATTGTGATTGACTTTGGATTGACTTGTGATCTGCTGGCGAATAAGTTATGATTTGATTCCGAGTGACTCGCGATTGACCTGGGGCTGGCTTGTGATGGACTTGTGATTGGCTTGCGATTGAATTACTATAGAAATAATGATCTAATGATTATAATTGACTTGCGATAAAGTTGCGATTGACTTGAGACTGACATCGTGATTTACTAATTATCGATGTGCCATTGACTGATTGTGATTGACTGCAATAATAGAAGTGTGATTCGATTTGTGATTGACTTGTGATTGGTTTGCGATTGACTTGTGATTGTCTTGTGATTGACTTGCGATTGTCTTGTGATTTGGCAAGCCAGTTTCAGTGTCGCTGTTTGGATCGCCGCTGCCTTCTCCCTCTGTGTGTGATTGGACATGATTGACTACTGACATGTGACGGACACGTGACTGACATAATGATTGACATTTGATTAACATGTGACTGACATGTGATTGTCATTAGCTTTTGGTTACAAACCAGGTTACAAGTGTTTCCGAGGAATCAGTGCCTTTGTTTGGAACGCCACTGCCTTCTCCCTCCGTTGTGATTAGACGTGACTGACTACTATAAAAGGACTGACATGTGATTGACATGTGACTGTCATGTGACTGTCATGTGATTGACTTGAGACTGATTTGAGGACATCCCAGGTTTCGGGTGTTTTCCGAGAAATCAGTGCCTTTGTTCGGACCGCCGCTGCCTTCTCCCTCTGTTCTGATTAGACGTGATTGACTACTAACATGTGACTGACATGTGATTGACATGAGACTGTCATGTGATTGACTTGAGATTGATTTGATCACAACCCAGGTTACGGGTGTTTTCTGAGGAATCAGTGCCTTTGTTCGGACCGCCGCTGCCTTCTCCCTCCGTTTTCGAAGACACGCAGGCGTTCAGAGACTTTCTACTCGTCAAACGTGGGTGCAACATTCCTCTTACTCCGTACATTTCGTGAAATATTAAAAAAATAATGGTTTTATTATGCCAAAAATGAATGTGCAGTTTTGAAATATTGAGGGGAGACCTTTAAGATTCAAACATTGGGTTCTTGTTGATGATACAGTTATAAATGGTGAGAAAGCTGCCTTCAACACGCCTACCTTTGCTAACAAGCGACAAAGAACCCTGGAGATGCTGATAAAAAACCTCCAACAGGATCTACCAGAGACAAACAAGGTAGGTCTAGAACACATGGTTTGTAAGGTGAGGGGGCGGCATCAGGCTGCCAAAGGCCATGGACCTCGACCGATCAAACATTAACTGTTAGACGGCCGTTGGCGGTAACGCGCTTGAATGATGCATTATAATGTCCCGAAGGCACGCCATACCAATTCCAGATGAGATGACATTCTAGCAGGTACGAGCGACAAAATTTCACACTGTTCTTGTTTATTTGCGCCTCGTTTCCGGCTGTAACACAACCCGAAGTTGAACAAACAAATTCCCACGTCAGGACAAAAACTGGAAAATAAATTGATAAATCCTGTCACGTCCCACCATCGCTCTTATATCAGGCCCAAACCCCAGACGCGTATCGTATGTACAGCTGTACGCGCGATATTCCTTACAGGTTGAAATACGAGAAGTGACATTTCTTGCCTCTTGTAAAAACATGTCCAGACACAATTGGGGTATTTTCTCCTGGCTTTTCTTCAACTTCCTGTGGATGTGATGTCTGTATAAGGAATGCCTTTTGATGGTGACTTGTATTTATTGTTGGTGGAGCGATTTAATCAATAGATCTAGGTGGGTCGGATTTCGTATCGTGATACCCGATATGCCGGCATTGCAAAGGTTGAGTTGGGATTTTTTTTTGTGCTTCCGCCAGTAGCGTAAAAGCCCGCGCAAAAAGGATTAAAACGCGGGGGAAATTGCTGGAAGTGCATGCGTGGCCGAAGGCTCGGCGCTGAATTCCAGTTTATAGTCCCACATCTTCTAGATTTATTGGCCTTTTCTAAAGTTCGATTGACCATGCTTGATGCTTATGTAGCACCTGATTAATACATTTTAAGATAGCATTGACAATTCTAATGCTAAAAAAAATGACAATTTGTAATGCTCAATCACCTTTGCACTTTCACAAGAAGATATACCACGCACTGAATGAAGCCAGTCATGAAACATATTTAGAAAGTTTCAAAGTTGCGTTTTTTTGTCTTTCCGTCTCTCCGGTCTGTATGTGCTGGGCGTCTGGATTAGTCTGGGTCACCTCGAGTCTTGAATTTTAGCCTTGTATTTTATTGTAAATTTAATTGTGGAATTATATTTTAAGCCTCCTCTACATTTATTTATATATTTGTTGCATGTATACTGTATTTAAATCTTGCCTGGAGCTCATGAAATTTACCTGTCATTTATCAATGCATTTTTATTGTAATGTTTTAATGATGACCCATTGAAAATCATCCTTGAGGTGACATGGCTACCATCACTAAATAAAGTAATTCCGTCAATGTTTATATACATACTCATCTTTGCACGAAATAAAAAAAAACATATCGATAAAACGGTAACATCAAGTAAATTTTGTTCAAATATTTAGTTTTCTTAGGGAAATTATTATGATTCATCAGAGCAGTACGGACTAAGTTATCAACTTTAAGTTAACAGACCCAAAACGCTAATTGAAGTCTAGTAATACGTAGGTTGGTCTAAAATAAGGTTTTCTTGATTAAACCTTGTCTGCGAAATTATAATTTGGAGGAAAGAGCAATCCACTTAATTCACCACTCAAGAGTACGAAGCGCCGGAAACGTCGGATCGCATGGACTGTTGACGCGCTAAGGGAAACATACATATATTTATGAAGACGCATCATTATTGCGTTTTTCAAACGCATAACAACACTAATGTGTTTGGTACATCATCCATCTCGTAAGAATTTATATGATGGCTTCTCACTGAATAGACCGTTCCGGATCAAGCCCTTACTAAGCCCCGCCCACCTTGGGTATTTGTGTGCATTTCTCACATTGCTTGTATAACCCAGTTTGACCCAGCTAAAAAGACTACCATAGACCTCGCACTTTTCGAAATTACACACTGACTTCGCGAAGTTATTAAAAATACTCACAACTCTCCAAGGTGTTTGAGACCACATCAAATTAAAGCTTATTTCATCATCTTTCATTCTCCGTTCAATTTTGTGAGGGTTAACCAATGACTTTCGGGAGAAAATTCCATCCAAAGATGATCACCCCTAAAGGCAGTCCTGAAGTCCATCACCATTTTGAAACTGGACGCCTCCGCTCCATTGCAAAATAGATCCATTTTAGGGCCCAATTTCATCCAAACTTCACAGAAATACGAGCTCGCAGTCCTGTGCATGGCTTCCACACGTCTTTTTTTTTTTTTTTTTTTTTTTTACAAAGAATTGTGCTTTGATACCGGAGAACCTGAAGGCAGGCAAATCGTGATTTGGCCGGCGTAGGCAATTTCTAGGCTATTAACAGGTCTGCACACATAGATCGATTGCATTCAGCCGCCACCTTTAACGTTGTGTTGTTATGTTAATTCATTAACAATGAATGCACAAGACGTCTACCCATGCGTATCCATATTGAACAAAAACACACGCCTCAAACATGGCTGCACTGCAAACTTCGTATATCTGCTTCATTCCAGAACATGCTGAACAAGAGATCCTTGAGTGACGTCATCCCGGAGCCTGTCTGGGGATGGAGAAACAAGAAGGAGGAAGCGAGACAAGTGGAATTTGTCCGAGTCGGTCAGGTAAAAAGGAATATAACAAATCTACATTATCCACTTGTGGTAGCGTACTGCTTGAACTCCATGAGGACGAGGTTGGGATGAATGACGCCAGACATGCATGCTAGAGCGTGCATCTTGCGGTTTTATAAATATGGAAATGTCAAGAAATGATTAAAGTTGTTCTTGTGTTTTTTTGTTTTTTTAATCCCATCGGTGTTTGCTTAGTGTCCTATGAAAGACTACAATTTTCATATTGATGTTTTTTTAATGTGTTTTTAGTTATGTAATTATAATGAATTTTTTTGTGGTGTTTTGTTTTTCTTATAGTTGCTGAAACTTAAAACAATCGTCAAGGGAGACGCTCCCACGAGTTTAGCGACAACAAGTCTCCTCAAACGAGAGGTAACGACGGTTACTTTTATATTTCTTTTGCCGGAAAAAAAATAGAGTTTGGCGACAGAATAATCGTCGTGGATCAAAATTCAAAATTGCAAGTCCAACTAAAATCGAATTATATTAGTGAAAAACAAATAAGGTCGCAAGTAGCAGAGGACGAATAATAACAAAGGATTGCCTTTGTCCAAGCTCATTTGAATAGAATATAAGTTGAATTGGGACTGGAGGACTTTTGATGACTTATGAAGACTTGACAAAAAGATTGCTTACGCGCTCTACACGATATTTAATCTACCAAAACGATTATGTTTGCACGGGAACTGATTCAAATTATTACTCGAACATTATCACTGGCAAGCATTTTCTAACAAAATTGACAATTTTGTCATGTCTTTCTTTGCTATTTGTCTACAGCCTTGGGAACCACAATGTATCCATAATGACTTCGCACATGAAGTACAGTGCGGAGATTCCTGGGGTAAGTTTTAAAAATAATCCTGACACGGAAGTAAGTTTCGTTTTGTTGTTAGACGTTCCTTTTCTGTGAAATGTTTGAAAGACTAATCGATGTTAGCTAATATTTAACAACAGAAGTAAAATGGCTCGGTTATAAACCTCAAAATACAAACAAAGGGGATTTTTAACTCAATCTTCTCGATATTTTTGTTTTGTTTTGTTTTCAAGGCGATCGGCTCATAGTAGGTACGGAGGTTGGAATATTCTGCATTGAAGGTGAGTGCCCACCTTTAACCTTTTCTTTGAAAATTGGAAGTAATATATATATTCTCTGATAAGTTTTTGTTTTGTTTCTGTTTTGTGTTTGTCCGTCCAAGGCATTTCACCACAAGCCTCGGCTTCCAGAAGATGCCTCCATATCTTTTCATATTTTCGCCTTTTTCACCTTTTCGACAAGCTCTATTTATTGATTTATGTACTTATGATCGTTTATTATGCTTGTATTTCTCATTGTGGTAGGGAAATTAAAGTGAGTTTGAATTGAATTGAAGTTAAGGTGTCAACAGAATTCTTTTAAAGTGACCAAGTTCATGTATATGTTCTATTTGTAATGAGGAAAGTCCAATGAATTTTTGGGAAAAGGTCAAGGATTATTAAAAGTATTTCTCTAAATATTTTGGACTTTTGGTTGGTGCTTTTTTAGAGGGACTTCCTCCACGCATGCTGTTTGACCGGACAGTGACTGCCAAACAACTGAGTGTCGTCGAGGCTCACGATCTTCTGATCTTCAGAGCTGACAAGGGTAGAAAAATCTCTCCGAGCATATTCATTGGATAGCTCATGCCCTCTTGAAATTAACCAAAAGTCCCACCCTACCCTTAAATTATTGGGAATTATTCAAAAGTTTCCTAGCTTTTTGACGATCTAAGTTATAAAAGATCTTTTAAGTTTTGATGGATCTTTAGGTTGGGGACATTTTAATGTCACCATGCACCACGTTACTACTGATACTGCTATCCAATAGCTGATGAAAAAAAACCACTTGGCTGCTTTGTAGGGATTCGAGCCTACGACCTCTTACTTATAACTGCAAGTGGCTTATCCACTGATTGAAATACCAGCCGTTGGGGCGGACGGCAGCGGGTACTGCCAAGATCTATATATTAGGCCATGATATCTTCCACAACCAAAAAATCCAGTCATATTGGAGTGTTAGACTTCATCAACTGAATTTGACCAATCCTGTCATAAACTTTATTGTTTGCTTGACTTTCTAATTTTTGATTTTTGATTTTACCTCAGGGAAGGAAAGCCGAGTGTACGTGTTCCGTCTGACCGACTTTGAAGGCGAGCCCAACGAGCTGATCGTGCGGACCAAGAATGACTGCAAAGACCACAAACTGGAGAGAACGAAAGGTAAATTAATGATTGACATCCATGAGACATTCATGGCAAAACAATTTCTCTTTTTCTCAAAAAGATGAAGAAAAACGAAACAATCACATTAAAAGTAGTGTAGTGGGCCTTAATGAGATCATCACATGCAAAATGTATACATGACGTCACACTTGCTTAAAGGTTATCACTACACGGATGCACTACTATATCACCATCAGCCATATATCCACCAAGCTGAAACTTCAACAGGTTTAATAGTTGTTGTGCACCTTACCTAAGATTTCGAACAATTTTGTGGCTTCACACAAAAAAGGAATTGAAAAAAATTATTGAACTCAAATATGTTTCATGCTCCTGATAATGCTCAGGTTGCCAGCTGTACGCCTTGAGTCGGCCCGGAGGCAGCCATCTACGGATGGTCGTAGCAGTAGGCAAGAAGCTCCTGGTCATGGCTTGGAAGCACAGCGCTGCGTGGACGGCGTGGTGTATGGCGGCCGATACCGACCCGGTGGAAGGGTTCACGTTTGTCAGGGTAATAATGTAGCTCAATTGGGTTATAGCTTTGAGCAAATGACGCCAAATTGTAGGTACAGAGGGTGAATTTATCAAGGTTTTTGAAGAAATTTAGTCAACCCTACATCAATCAAAATTTGGAGATGGCAAGAATTTCGTTTTTGTGCTTCCTTCAAAAGCAATATCCATTTGTTTTGGTACCCCTGTTACGCCGCCCTAATGTTCCCCCATAACATTGTCAATAATTTCCCCCAAAACTGTGGTCAATTTACCTCTTTACGGCGAGTACGATAACAACAGTAGCAATATGACACGTATCCCCCAACATTTCTTTACTACCGACGAAAATGTTGTAGAAAGTCGGCAGTAATTACTTTGTTATTGATAAAGGCTGGGTTCGGGATCTGAATTCGAATTGGCCTGTGCTTGACTTGTGATTTACTTGTGATTAACTTGTGATTGACCAGTGATTGACTTGTGATTGGCTTGCGATTGACTTGCGATTGACTTGCGTTTGGCCTGTGATCGACTTGTGATTGGCTTGTCGTTAACCTGTTATTGGCTTGTGATTGACTTGTGATCGACTTGTGATTACTTGTGCTTAATTGTCTTGCGATTGACTCTTAGTTAAGTTTCAATTGACTTGGGTTATACTTGGTATAACTTGTAATGACATGGGGTTGACCTCTGATGATAATATGATTCCTTGATGGCATCGGTGACTATATGAATACATCCTGTGGTATCTTGTGGTTGAATTGTGGTACTTGCCTTGCAATAACTCCTGATGGTTTAAATACAACTCTTATATACTCCGATTACACAATGTATCACATTATGTCGATCGTAATTCTCCTTAACATCTAGGAACTTGTTGCCTCAGAGGTACCCAACCTCATGACACTGGTAGACGGCGGCAAGGAAGATAACCAAATCTGCGTAGCCTTCAGGAACCAGTTTGATCTCATCAATGAAAAAAACGGAGATACCTTCCGCCTTCATCTCGTCGAGACCAGCAAAGTGAGTTACAAATTGGATCATTCATGTTTTGGGGTTTTTTTAACAAAGGATTTTGCGTTAACATTATGATATAGTGTGTATGGTTCTGATAACAGTCCTTTATTACCTGTATAGATAGTCCCAACCAAAACCATTAAACAACATTTCTGATGACTGATTTACAGCAGGTGAATCTCGTATCTGCCTTGGATATATACGAAGATGAAGAACCTGAACTTCTACTCTCGTACAACCGTAAGTTGCTGTAAACTATGCTGTTAAAGGTTTAATTCTGTCTGTACGCTGAACGGCTGAAGTGACGCTACCATAATCAGCAGCTATACTTCTTTGTGCAGCAAAGTGGGAAAATAGTAGGGACCGGGAAAATGTGTCGATTTCGGGAAGACAGAAATCTTCAAATTTGGGATAAAAAGTGAAAGAACAAAAGAGGAGAAATTGATAAAAAAAATTGTCTCGGAATTCTTTCTGTTGGCAGGCGATAGTTTCAACGTTTCACAATCTGGGATAACGAATTTAAAACTGGTATCATCTGTTTAATACCTATAACTACGTTGATACTTTTTTGGAAATATCATCAGTGATAAAATACTTTAAGTAATTTATAGACTTTAGCCATCCGATAAAAATACAAGATATTGTGTCCCTTGCTTATACCAATTAAAACTTGAATGTTTTTCGTACAGTTTGGGAATGTGCGGCTTAGCAAGATTAGTCTGTACAATGAATTTTTTTCAGATAACATTATTTCTTTAATTATTGACGTCGAATACCGTTTCCCATCAGATGTGTCCCAGTTCAAGAAGCTCAACGGCGAGAACTCGTCAGATTTTGACATCCACTGGAACTCAGCACCAAAAGCCATCGGTAAATCGGATTTGGTGTTTTATAATAATATAAAAGGACCAAGAAGTCACATCTTTTGACAAAAGTGGCTTGTAATTCAATGATGGTGTACCATATAATCTTTTAAATCAGCGGTGAGGCAACATTTTGTCTTCAGGGTACCAGACGAAATTACTGCATATTAAAATATAGGTACGTACACAACTAATAAGTTATCTGATCGTAAAAAAAAAATCGCTTAGGCCAACAATGCTCAATTGAGGGCGTATTCATGTCAATAAAATCGATTTGTACAGCAGATGAAACGATCGTAGATGATTGCATAATTGACGGTATATATTTGGTTTTCCTCTAATATGATATAGTTTGTGCCTTCCCCTACATCCTGGCGTTCACACACGACTCCATGGAGATTCGCCTCGTTGTGAACGGCAACCTCGTACACACAATGACCATGCCACGACTCAACCTCATATCCTCCAAGGTACAATCCCAAACTCGGTTGTTGTGACCAAACTATCTTGGTGACACCTGTTATAGTTCCTTACTTTCTTTATCCCTATCTTAGCCCTTCAAGTAAAAGTCTCTACCCATTAGTCCCAAAGTGTCTCGCAATTATTGCCCCCGTTCATTTGGCCATAATAGTATGAGACCAGTTCTGAATGTAGCTTAAGATTAACGCAATCTGGTCTCTACCCCCAAAGCACCAACTTATATACCTCGTTGGAGAGAGGCAATTGTAGTAAAGTGTCTCGCCGGTTAATGTCATATTTGTTTGTTTTGTTGGCCTTTTAAAGTTGACCTATCATTAAAGTGCCTATCTTTTGATGACCCGCCCACAACCACCATATATGGAAGTACCATTCACATAGGTTGATTTGTTGACAGGTACCCATTTATATATACCTAGTTGGAGGGAAGCAATTGTAGTAAAGTGTCTTGCCCAAAGAAGACATGCTCTTTAACGAACGTTATCTGTGAACTCCATTTTTCTGTTAACTCCATTACATAATGTCATAGGTCATTGCAATTCACATTTAACATATTTGCCGAAGTTGACCTATTAAGAAATGCTTATCTTTGGATTACCCGCCCACAACCACCATATATGGAAGAACATTGACATAGGTTGATCATTTCCCAGTGAGCTTTTGCGCTGTCTAATTTGACAACTCGGCCTGCCTATCTTTTGATGACCCGCCCACAATAACCATATATGGAAGTACCATTGACATAGATTGATCATTTCCCTGTGAGCGTTTGCGTTAACTTCTGTCTAATTTTGACAACTCTGCCTGCCTATCTTTTGATGGCCTGCCCACAATTACCATATATGGAAGTACCATTGACATAGGTTGATCATTTCCCTGTGAGCTTTTGCGTTAGCTTCTGTCTCATTTGACAACTCTGTCTGCCTATCTTTTGATGACCCGCCCACAATAACCATATATGGAAGTACCATTGACAAAGATTGATCATTTCCCTGAGAGCTTTTGTGTTAGCTTCTGTCTAATTTGACAACTCTGTCTGCATCGCAGTGCGATCTTCACTTCACGTCTACGGGTACACCAGACTTACTGCACGGCCTACAACCCAGCCCCAGGGACCCGATCCGACCGTTCAGTCCGCTAGCTAGTCCCACCAATCCCAATGCAAGTACGTGACAGAGTTTAACATAGCGATCAAAGGCTGGTTCTTTGTAGTGCTTTTGTGTCAGAAGGCGAGTGATAGTAAAGTCAATCACAATGGACCGATCCAGTAAGCACCGCCCCATGGTGTTCTGACCAATCACAGCCGTGATTTTTGTCCGACGTGCGTGCACAAAAGTCCGACATGCGTGCACGCGCGTATGATGCGCGTGGCAGGAAAATGCAGTGTGGCATTGGAGAGGAGCACGTGTTAATTTACCCACGTGCGTACTGGGCGGAGCTTACTGGATCGGTCCATTATTAAGCCACAGGTTAGGCCAAATATTACATGGAATGTACAGTGTACAACGGGATGGCTTTACTCATAGACTGGTCCCTTACAAAAAGCTATCTTGAGACTGTATGATTTATTATTGTCTTGCGATAAACTCCTGAAACCTGTACTGCAACTCTGATATGGAAGATATCAGAATTTTATTTTCTTATGAAAATCCATATTGCCATCATCTGGAATGCCTCTAAAAGAAAAGGCAAAACAACTCTATTGTAAATTGATTAACCTTCAACTGACGGGGTTAAATTTGAATTCTAGCTGGGGATTAAATTCTCAAGTTACAATTTTTGACTCCCGATAACGATCAAAATTTTATGTGTACTGGCTTCAAATGGGTATTTCAAATATTAAATCTATTTATCACATAAGATGGAGAGATTAATTTATTGTTGATGTCTCAGTGCTGTTGGTTAAGAGAAAGAGTATTGGTCTAGTCCTAAAGTCATAGACCTAATTCATTTGCCTTTTTTGACTGACATAGTTGCTCCGATGATGGGTTCCCCTACTCGCATCTTCAAGATCCCACTGATAAGCCTCGTCGGCCAGATGACGGAGCGGCCGGTCCAGCCTACCAACAACCGGCCTCGGTCCTTCATCTCCCCGCTAGTCAACATCGCCGAGACCTCCTCGGCTAACAAACCCACCAATAGGCTGACCACCCGACCGCAGAGCGACACAGCGCTGTCTGCGTACGAGAAGAACATGGCGAACGACAGCGGGAACGCGGAGGGCCTGGCGCCCTGGCGCACCGGGCCGCAGCTACCCCGCCCCTCTGGTGAATACTCGGACTCGGGCTACTCGGAGTCCGATGTGTCGTTCGAGTCCGCGGACTGCACGGACGCGCCCCGGGGTTACCCGTACGAGTCCGCACGGGTTGGGCAGGACTCGTCCGCCGAGATGCGCCGGAAGATGTTCAGTTGTCTCCACTCCCCGCGGCAGCAACGCCGGACCTTATCCTCGCAGAGCGCCGACCCGGAGGCGCGGGCCGAGTTACTGGGGACCTCCAAGTCCAAATCGCGTTCTCGATTTGGTTCCAATCACTCGGACTCGGTCTTCTACAGCAACTCGCGGACCCCGGGGCTCACGGACAGCCGGTCTAGCTCAGTAGCCTCCGAAACTGATTCCTGCCGGTCTGACACGGGCACTTTGCAGTCCTGGCCCCGCTCCATCCCTCGGTTCGGCAGTAGCGGGTCTACAACCTCGCAGTCCGAGGCCGAGATGAGAGCAGAGCTCCTCGGCAAACTCCTACGGTCTCCGAAGCTCGGTCGCCCGTCGACCTCCTCGACGATGTCCACTCAGTCGGACTCGGAGGACCGAGGCTCCGTCTTCGAGAGTGTCAGTCCCGTCAACAAGACAAGCCATCCTTTCTATCTCTCCTCATCGGTTGACGAAGATGATATCGACCTCAAGTAAATATGTGTACATAGGACGTTAATATACTGAGCCATTAAGCCCCGCCCACTGCGCACGTGGGCAACACTTATTAACAGGTGCACTTCTCCCACACCGCATGTTCCAAACGCGCACGTCATACGCGCGTGCACGCATGTCGAACATTAATAACGACTGTAATTGGCCCCAAAAAAACTTGGGCGGGGCTTAGTGGATCGGTATCTGCAGTGACGTAGTTGAGTCCAGTCACAAGTAATGAGGCCGTGTCCGAAACGGGCTTCCAGAGCTACGGCTACGTCTATTGTCAGCGCGTCCCCGCGTATTTTCAATGGGCACAGACCTAGACCTAGCTCTAGACAACTGATTCGGATGCAGCCTAAGTAATTACAGGGGATCACGGATCCTCTACACGGATCCTTCCCGTGAGGGGCTGGGGATGCACAATTACAAAAGAATCTTAAAAAAGAATCTTAAGAGTCACAATTAATTTGAATAGACCTTTATCATGCTGCCACCATTTCAGTCATGTTCCCTGTATCCAATAACATAACTGAATGATAATGGTTTTTGTGCAAAAAGGAACTAGACTATCTTTCTTCCAGCGTCGCTTTGGTTACGTTGATTTGAATGGGAAAAAAATCAAGATGGCCGCAACAGGATAATGATCAATAACAGTACTGAATGATAATTTTTTTGGTGCAAAAAGGAACCAGACTATTTTCCTTCCAGCCTCGCTTTGGTTACGTTGATTTGAATGGGAAAACAATCAAGATGGCCGCAACATAATAATGGTCTATAACAGTACTGAACGATTTTTTTGGTGCAAAAAAAGAACCAGACTATTTTTCCTTCCAGCCTCGCTTTGGTTACATTGATTTGAATGGGCTAAAAATCAAGATACCTGCCACATGATAATGGTCTATAGCGTGTGACTTGACTTGAATTTGGTGGACTCGTGATGAACTCTGCTACAAAACTGGCGTAAATATGTGCATATAGAAAACTAATTGGATCCAGAGTTATTTTTCTATTTTACATTTTGTAAAGCATTCCAAATCAGATATTCTGAGGTTTATGAATACAAACTCTTTACAAAAAGAGAGAAATATTTACTTTTTTTGTCTTGCCGTTTTCTTCCTTGAAAAACATCAGTTCAATTTTTATTCCTTCGAAATATATTTGTGGTCAAGGTACGTCCTACGCATAAACATTATAAAAAACATACTGTCGGGAAAGCAAAAGGTCTAAGATGAATGACATAGGCCATGAGCTGAATTGTGAATGACGACATGGATATTTGTTTTCGTGTCCAAAATGCTTGAATCATAGGAAAGTATGCATACATGCCGCTGTCTTAAAAGAAATAAAGTGGACATAGAATTGGGTTTTGTGGTATTTTATTTTTGGCATTTCAAAACATTAATGTTTATTTCTTTATTTAATTCTTTCCTAACTCTATCACCTTACGGATTTTTGATTTATTTGTAATTTTAAGTAAAACTATTTTGATACTACTGATTTAAGACGCTGATGACAAATCACCGTTGTATAAAATACATTTCCAGGGACAGTTTACACACTAATTATGAAAATCGTACGAATTTGACATAAATGACCGACTAAAAAGGTTGTAACGTAAATGATTGACCTTTTTCACTTCGTTTCTTGCCATCGTGTTTTACAAAATAAGATTCTATATGTAAATCATGTGTTTATTACTAACATCGAGCGTAACTGTGATTGTTGAAATATTTGAAAAGAAAAAATTGTATTATAATGATGGAAATACTGCTCGTTGTTAATTAACATTATATTAATATTTTGATTTTTGATACGAAGTATAATGTAAATTGATTACCTTTACGTGTTTTGGTGCGTGTGATTATGACTGATAATTGTCTCTTTGCAGTAAGTTCAAACAAAAACACCTTGGGTTAAGAGCCTTGACACCGAGTCAATGTACTTAATGACACCGACAGAGGGCGTGCTCTGGCGCGCCAGAAACTACATGACGATACAGACTCTTTAAGATTTTCAGCATGGAGTCAGAGAAAAGCTCTATTGAAACGCCATTCCAATTCGATTTCAAGTTAAGATGTGTTTTATTTAGAAAACTTTGCTTTGCCATGTCTATTAAAAATATGTATACACATTCCACTGTGTCAATCGATAAGTTTCGACTGAAATTGGCTTACATTGAATGTGTCCGGCCTAACGAAAAGTAGGCTATATTGGTTTTTTTCCCTCTAAAATTACGAAAAACCTGATTTTTTTTAATTTGACAGTTGTTTCAAATAGGCTTCGACTAAAGGCGCAAGGCAAGAAATGATTATGTTGCAAAGGATTCAGTGCTGGTCGGGAATTGGTACAACAGTATTTTTGTATTTTGGAGTAAGATAAAAATGTAAATTTCGAACCAGCCAACCGATCCCGCAAGCTCGGTGGTCGAGTGGTAAGACGTCTGCGCAAAGCAGGAGGTCGCTGGTTCGGGTACCACCCGAGTGATTTTTCCAACTTTCATTCGGGAGTTGAGTATACAGTGTTTGTACGTAGGTGAAGGGCAAAAACTAATATTGATTTACATCACCCCGACGCAAATTCTATCTTATGAATATTAGAAGTAAATTTGTTGGGTAAAGAGTAAAAATGCTTATTATTTTTGGTACCACGGTACAAGCTGTGTGTAGGCCTATTTGGCTTTTAGGCTGAGTTGTAAGGCAAGTCGATCGCCAAGTCAATCGCAAGAAATCTACTAGTCGAAAGTAGTAGGGGCCCAAAATGGACCTAACAAATGAATGCCTTTGTCGCGGTCAATTCCAATATTGACTTGGGACTGGATGAATTGTGATGACTTGTGATTGGCTTGTGATGGCTTATGATGACTTGTGACTGACTTATGATGACTTGTGACTGACTTATGATGACTTGTGATGACTGATTACAACTCTGTCTCCAAGCCAGCTGGACAATCGAAGCATGATCTTAAAAGGTGCAGTGAATCGTCTTAATGTTTGGTGTATAAAATTTCAATGCTTTGCTCTTTTTCTCCAGAAAGTTTTATACCTGTGAAATTTTATGAACATGTATATCAAAATACAAAGCACACTGTTGGTGGTTTATGTCTGTTACAAAGAATCATAATTATTTATTCTACCTTGTGGGAAGTGAAATTGATTTATGCCTTTATCTTTTGCAATAAAACATGAATGCACCTTAATTTTCAAGAGCACTTTGTTGTATTTTTGGTGAAGTTTGTGTTGGCGAACTGCGTAAATGCACTACAGCAGTATTCTGCTTTATATGCAAGATGATCTAAGGGTTAATACTTATATTTGGAAGTCATGAGAAAGTGCTGAAATCATTTCAATATTTTGAAGAAAAAAAGATCATGAAAGCTATTCAAGACTGTAAACCCCTTCCCATTCACTCCTGTGTTCTCTAACATGATTTCAAGAAAACTATTTAGATGATCTTCTTGATGTTTTCTTTTTGGTTTACACTTGTTTTTAAAAGAGGGTTTGGCTTAAAATGATGAGGCGGGCGAGGATAATACGTAAGGCTAACAATGGGGGCGCTCTTTATTACTTTGAATGAATTGTGCTGCTTCGGCGCTCTTATTAATACTGTGAATGAATTGTGATACTTTTGCGCTCCATAAGTCTGGCATCCAGACGTATGCAATAAAAAAGGCATAGGTAAATACAAAGGGTGCCAGTCTGTTGGACGTTGTACATGTTCGACATCAACACGTGTGTGTGCTGCGCTATTTACAGTGTTGCGGTAAGTGAATTTAAACATTCTTTTCTTTCAGTGCAATCATACAAATGACATTACTTGACGCAAAAAGGGTGTCATGCTTGACAACGACTAATCTCGCGCCAATAAATGGAGAATTGTTTGGATACAATGCCTTCACAATGTCTAGCCCCATAAATGTGGCCTATTTACTGGACTGCCTCCAAACATGCCAAACATAGGCCACACATCCACATGTAGAAAAATCGTGTCGACGGAGCCAAATTTTGATTTTCACATTTAGGCTTAGTTTGTAGGGTTTTTTTGCTTTAGAAGCATACTCACCCTCTTTACAGGCTAATCAGAAAGTGCTGCCTTTTTCAGATGTCTAATTTTTGTGAAATTTCATGTTGAAATTTTGATACGCAAACGTGTAAAAATGAATCTGGAAATTTCACGAAAAATATACATCTGAAAAAGGCAGCACTTTCTGATTAGCCTATGAAGAGGGTGAGTATGCTTCTAAAGCAAAAAAAACCTACAAACTAAGCCTAAATGTGAAAATCAAAATTTGGCTCCGTCGACACGATTTTTGTACATGTGGATGTGTGGCCTATGTTTACGAAGGCAGTCCAGTAAATAGGCCACATTTATGGGGCTACACAATGTCGAACAAAAATTAAAACTTGTGTGCCCATTTTCCGGACAGGTGCGTAGCCACTGGATATTTTAAGAACTGTTGCAGTGCACTACAGAACCAGATTCAATTGTCATCATGGGAGGCCCGTCCAACAAAATCAACAAGCCAAAAGTAAGTAGGCCTACATCAGATTTAAAGCAATGCTAAATTAATAGGCACATGTAATTATAAGACAATGTATTGTATTTGTAAGACAATTTAAGATTTCTGTGAGTAAACAAGAGAGGGCGCTTTGTCAAGGACCAGCATCCTGTCCTATGAGGACACTTGTGATTGGTTCATTCACATATATACATCTCTTTCTTTAATTTGTCTACATGTACATAAGTACAAAATGTATATCATGTATATGGAGGGCAGGTACAGTATATATATGTTGACTAAAATTTAATTCTGATCCTGTGTGATAGTTCTGAACCAATCAAGAGACACAAGGTTAATTACCGCTGGGCAAGTATTTCACGTACAGTGTACTTGCGAGTACAGTTTATGCTGTTCTCATTGTTCTTCTCAATTCATTTTTTTATCTACTCGAGGGCTCGTCCTGGTGCAAGATGAATCAGGTTCTCACGAGAAGCAATTTAGGGTTTTAACCCTAAAGGGGCCGGGGGGGGGGGGACATTTTCCGCGATAGCCTCTAAAAAAAAACTGTTATGACTTTTTAACCTCGAGCTTTGCGCATCTTTTGATACCAAAAACATAAAAATTGGACCACGGTATACAGAGCAGAATTGCCATTCGTACATATGAATAATTAATTAGCCATAATTCCAAAACCCTTTGACCTATAGTCATGAAATTTCTTGGGTATGTTTAGGAAGAGTTGCTCTAGATGCATGTACTGAGATTCAAAATTTTTCATTACTTGATGGCCGAGATCTTAGGGGGGGGGGGCGGAATCCGAGAGATGGTAAAAATAACCTGGCCCTTTTAGGGTTAAGGTTCACAGATTAATACGTAAACAGGGAATCGCTCCCTCCACCTTGCTCTCACTAGGATTCCATTTGTCCCCCCCCCCCCCCCCCCCCGAAAAGAAATTTAAGTAATAGACCCAAAATGAACCATGGTTTGAGATGGTTTGTATGCTCCAACTTTTGTGTGAACAAAAGTTACCATCTTCTCTTTGTTAAGATGAAAAATTGCAGAGTGCAGATTTAACAGTTACCATTGTCCCCCATAGACTTGTATTTATTCATCTGCTCTATTTACATGTACAGTGTGCTTCATAAAAAAAAGTAAAGTCATCTTGTGTGCACACACAGTTGAAATTATGAATAGGCTTAGGCCCATAATCCATGATCATAATATCCATCGATAATTTCATGTGATGGAGAATGTTACCCAAAGGGTTAAGTTGCATGATAATGAGGCATTAGACAAATTGGACAAAAATTGATAGAAATTAATTATCAACACCTTAGTTTATTCCATATACTGGCACAAATAGTCAATAAACACGTTATGTCTAGAGCTTGACACACAGTTGTTTTAAAATTTGATAAATGATAACCACATTAATCAAACACTACCAAACTTTTTTCAACTTGATCAATTACCTGTACCACAGAATTTCATTGCAGAAATAATTCAACTAAAAATTTGCCCTTTTCATGCCAAACAAATTTTTTAAATGTTTTTTAATTTAATTTTATTTTTTACTGATTTCAATATTTTTACGCACCAATATAATAATTATTTGAATTTTCTTTAATTATAAAATAAGACAAGTATGTTTTTTGGTATCTCTCTTTCATTTATCATTCACTTCAATCGTCCACTAAAAATATAGAACACAAAACTCTTGCACTATTGAATAAATTAACAGCATTTGGAACCAGAAATGTTAACAACCACCAAACAGCATAATTATCATACAAACTGCATGCCACATACACACGTGTGTAATTCTAGCATTATGGAAAAAATTGTAATGTCTGGGACTGACAGAGCCAATTAACCATTAAATTCGTATCTAATGAATGATTCAGAGAAATGATCCAAAACTCCTAGTCTGTAATCTCCTTGACCATTACTAGATGATGGATGTATAAGATTTGAAGATTGCATTTCAGGTTTAAAGGGGATATACAACATTTGCAAACATCAAAAAATAAAACTCATAGTTTTTACGAAATACCTTACTAGGATGTTGGTAAATGACAGTTGGTAAATGTAAAATTATGGCACCTGGTGTAAAGCCATTTTCAAGAAAAAGGTATTTTTGTATGCATTTCTAACGGTGGTCGGCCGACCACCGTTGGAAAAACCTAACTATTTTTCAACTACTGCTCCAAATTTACCATTTTTGTTCAGTCCAAATTTTGTTTGCTATTGGTTACATGTTCATGAACGTGTGCAAGCCAGCTAGACTGGTTCCCTTGCCTTACAATTTCCCGGCACCTATAAACTGATCCATTTCATCTTTAGTGGAGTCAGGGAACTAGACTACTTGAACATTTTTGTTTTCTTGGTTTTTCCAGCATTTTCGAACACAAAACTTCAAACATGTCAGTGTAACAATATTTGATCTATTATACTAACCCCTCAAATACTTCATTTGTGAAAATTACAGCAAAAGTCAATGATGTACATTCCCTTTAAAAGCTGACCTGAGCAGCTCTGTCATGAATATTACATGTACATTTTTATCCCATAACACTTGAACTGCCTACATACATGTACAGGTGAAAATGTCATATTTCAAAAATCAGTCAAAGAAGATAAAATTTCAGGAATTATTGATGGCAAGTCCTAGTCACTCATAATATTTATCGTTAGGCCCCACATTGCCACAGCATCATTGGCCTATATACAAATCACAGCAATATAATCAAAATGGAGTTTAAATAAATCAAAGTTATGTTCATAATACAAACAAATACTGGTATACTTGTACATTGTAAATGCACAATTAAACACTAAAGTTAAGTATATATTTGCAGGCACAAACAAATATGAAATCGAATAATTATTTTGGCGTTATCAGCTTTATCCACATGTGTGGCTTCAGTTTGGACATCGCTTTGAATTTTTGACATGTTTTAGACACATGCAGAAGTTAATGTCTTCCAAATAAACTTTGAACCAAAAATTTGCAAAATCTTCACTGATCTTTTATAAAATCCACAAAACCCTATTTGGCCCAAAATCCTGCATAAAGCAAGCAAACGAATGTGCGTCGGGCACGGTAGCACATCCACTTTCATTTTTTAAAAACTCTATACTTTAAAGTCGTATCATAAACTCAAAATTGTGAACCTTTCTGTACAAACAATATTTTTCTGCAACATCTAACTTCTCTCAAAACTGTACATGTGACATATCATAATTTGTTTCAAAACCCGAACAACTTTGGACAATTCTCAGTTAACCAAACACTACGGAAGCAATTTGCCAATTTCAAAAATAAAAAAAATATGCTAGCAGGAGAATAAAGACAAAGCATAATTGATATTCCAGTTTTTTTTTCTGACTTTTTTTTGTACCACAAAGCTGACTAATGTCCAACATGCCTACCCTGGTACGCTTGACAATACACCCTGTGGTTTAATGTAGTAAATTCAATAAATGAAGGGTTTGTTTCTGTCGATAAATTACATATTTGTGATTTGCCTGTACAAATAAGCATAAGGCTTTAGATACATTTTAGAAACTCAATCAGTTGCCAACAGGCAAAAAATTCCCAAAATCACAAAAAAAACCTCATTTGTTTAAAAAAACAAGAAATAAATATCTAAGAAATCAATTTAAAAAAATGTGCATCTCATTTGCATTCAATGTTAAGGCCAAAAAAAAAATAAGTCGGTCTCTGGTCAGCGCGCGCGTCGATTTTAACCATGCGCGTCGATCTTTTTTTTTCCAAAATGTTCCGCGGTAGCTCCAACAGCGCCCTCTATTTCCGCACCTCCTCAATTTTTTTTTCCAAAGAGCACCAAGGAATGGGAAATTGCACCAAGGCAAATGATTGAAAGCACCAAGGCAAATTATGGAGGACACCATGATGTACATGAGGACACCAAAAAAGCAAAATAGTACTTACCTTGTCTGTACAATCCAAGCTTGAAGAAAAAAAAGAAAAAAGGAAAAAAAAAAAAAAAAGCCGCGTGGCCGCGTCAATTCCGGAACTTTGGTCTGACCAGAGACCGAATATTTTTTGGGGGGGCCTAATGGCCCGTTTGCTCCTTTCATTTGCACTTATGTTTTAATTTTAATTTTTTTTTCTATTTTGTTTTTAATAAAATACAGTCAAACCCTGATAAGAAGAGCACTGTTGATACACCATCCATGATCCTGCTCAGTAAAATGTTAGGTCCCAAGTTTTTGTTTTTCTTGGTTTTCCATTACTGATAATACAATCAACAAGGTAATTTGCAAAGTCCCAAGGACCTTGTTATAAAGATGTTCAACTTCTGAGAACCTATTGAATTCAACTGAATCCTACAACAGTCAATCATGAGGTTTACGGCATCCAACAAAATCAAGAGTGCGGACCAAGTCCAATTATCAAATAACCACTGCTTTTTATACACACAAAAAAGAAAGAAGGCAGGAAAAGCTCGTGCATTCACAATGAATCAATATGGTTACTAGTCTGTTTTCAAGGCTGAGGTTCCGATGAATGTACTGATCATCATGTCCCGTACTTTCTCCGTGAATTCTGGGACATCATCTAACGTCATACCGACGGTGGATATGGGCTTAAGGACGGTCATCTTGTATGCACCTTGATTGACGGACAAAAACATAAAGAAATGACAAACATTAACTTATTATTAAGTAGTAAATTCAGATGTACTTTATCTTAGCAGAAATGAAACAATGAATCTATGAGATACGGTCTTGCGCTTTTTGGAAAACCGGGCAATTTAGTTAGGGACCGGTAGTCCCCGTTGCTGTGCATATAGACTTTTGATTAAAAACCCATATACGGCTGTGGCGAACTTCGTTATGAAACCCATTTCCTTTCAAACCCTTGAAAGGTGTATTTGCTTGCTTTGTGCATACTCAAAGTGCATAAAACAATGTTTAGGCAGGATGGTATCAGTCACCGGTACAAGATTCTTTGTTTGTTTTTTGTGTTCCTAGGCTACTAGGGCTGGGGTCAAAATTAGTGAACACTAACACTGGCAGTAAACAAAGTATGCACAACATATTTTTTTCTAATTGTGCACAAACCAACAGCGTATTTGCAGCGACCTCCTCCTCCTCCACCTGCAAAACCCTCCTCCAACCCCCAACCCCCCCCCTTCCCCAGTGGCAGGTCATGCAACCAGCCTGGCTTGTATATTACGAGTTTGACCACGCTAACGTGGTCACCTGACCAAACGTAGTGATCACTGTACACTCATGAGGCCCCCTTCAATGGAGACACCACGCTATTGTGCAAAGCAACTGCTGTGTGATGAATTATCTGAACAATAGCTAACACAATGCTGTCGCCATTAAAGGGGGCCTTCCTAACGTGGTCACCTGACCAAACGTGGTGATCACTGTACACTCACGAGGCCCCCTTCAATGGAGACACCACGCTATTGTGCAAAGCAGCTTCTCTGTGATGAATTATCTGAACAATAGCTAACACAATGCTGTCGCCATTAAAGGGGGCCTTCCTGTTGGCTGCCTGGATCGGTCTATTGGTCAATGTGCACTGTTTGATGGCCAGGCAGGAAGAGTGTACTGCCCAGCAATTATTACTGCCCTTGACTGAGTGGCAGTCTGTTCAGATTGTTATCTCGTTGTTGACCACTTCCTTTGTCTGAACTTGTTTGCAATCCAAACTACATGTATGACCAGTGTAAATGTACATGTATTTTAATTACATGTACATGTATTACCAGCAAAATAAGAAACTCTCTAAAGAGACTTTCACCCACCTGATGTGAAGCGTTTATGCCTGAAACTGAAGAAGGATTCTTGGCACGAGAACACAATAGGTACTATTGGCACCTGTCACAAAACAAAATAGGAAAATATTTGGCACTGAACACTTTAAGCAAATTAAATTTACAACCCTAACCCTGCTGAGTCCAACAGGATCCAACTGTGTCACATACCCGATGGAGCCTGTCGGATTGAGCAGTTAACTCCTTGTGTACATTCCTCAAGCAAAATGTTGGATTCAGCAGGCAACTGAACCGCATATAACGCCATGTTGGACTCCGTTGGATTCAGCAGACAACTGACAATAAGGCTCAGTAGATTGAGCAGGAAACTCCGGTTGGACTCTGTTGGATTTAGCAGGGTAGTCCTGAGGAACTACTAGGGGGTCAGGGTAATAGAATATTAGAACTACTAGGGGGTCAGGGTAATAGAATATTAGAACTACTAGGGGGTTAGGGTAATAGAATATTAGAAACCTCCATGTACATGTAGCTGAGGCTGCTGAGCCTCCTCCTTTTGAAGTAAAGATGTGCATAATAATCAGTACCCTCGCTTCAGTAACAATTGTTACTACATGTACATTTACATGTACAATGCAAAATCTCACTTGCAAGGTATTTCTCATTAAATCAGTAGGTTTGTTTCCAGGTAATTGCCAATGCTCCTACGGGTGCACACCTGTAAATAGGCCTAAACCCATCTGCCGAGCTCATGAATATATGAATATCATGTTATACCCTCAAAATATTCTATATTAGAGAGTTTTGAGAGCCATAAAATTGGGGAATTGAAGAGATATTGCAATGAACCTCTGGCCCGGACTCGGGGCTTCCAATTCTGAACATTTTCGATGCTATTGGGCTCGAAAGTGGCGCTATTTTGCCATGTTGTGGAGGGATCGTTTTTCAAGATGGCTACCGTTCCGCTTTGGGGAAAATAGGGGTCTTCTTCTTTGGGCGAGAATTTCTCGAAAAGTCAACGGTCAACCCACCAAAAATATGAAAAGAAATTGAAAGATGACGTGTTGATTATCATTTTTCTGTGCAGCTTAAATACCTGTGAGAGTTCTGAGTATTTTTAAAAGAATTTTGAAGTATGGGCATTTAGCACTAGTGTCTATGGGAATTTGTTTGCACTGTTATACCCCTACATGCTTTTAAGTGAATAGCGCCCTCAGTCGGTAGCAATATGGACCACACCCACCTGTGCCTGTATTGCAAGGTTGAAGGCTCCCTTCTTGAAGGGAAGGAAGTACTCCACTTTCTTCTCCTCTTGTGGAAGGTTCTTCTTGGACAGTTTTCTTGTTCCTTCGGGAAACACCCAGACCTTTGCCTGTGAAATTCCATCAATACAATATGAAGATGTGCTTATTTGCCTTTATTTTCGACCTGATGGATCTTACTTTGAGCTGGCCTGTCATTTTGACAAGTGTAACACTTGTTACTTTCAAACTCTCGACTTTTGACAAAACATTGACGGAACTAATAGGTTGGCCTAACATCAGAAAGCATCCTTGCAATAATTTACAAATTATGTCATACATTGTCATAGGGCCTAAATACTGGTACTATCCCTTTAAAAAAAGGAAATAAATATGTACGTGTAGAAGTACATACATGGTTCTCAACTTTTGAGTACAGAAGAAACTTTATAAGAGCAAGAGCAAATAAAACTAAAATTCTTCCTATAATTAAAAAAGCTCTGCTCCAAAATTTCAGAGGAAAGGGGCCATGAGTCGCCTCAGATTGCACCACAGAGTGCTCGCTGGAGTTTGCACTTGGGGCAAATATTTTCAGGTTTTTTGTCACAGTCCAATCATATCCCTGAACTGTGTTGTAAAGTAAGACTGACACAGTTCAAGTAAAGTCTCTACAAGTACAAGACTTACGTTTTGCTCCTTGATGATCTTGACAGTGTTCTCCAGTGCTACTTTGGCCTTTTCTCGGTTGGTTCGGCTGACGAATATGACGCCACTCAGCATGGCGGCTAGGCCCACTGGCCCCAAATACTTGACCGAGTTTTTCATCATAATGGAGCAACGGTCAGGCCAGTATTCCATCATGGCTGAAAAATTCAAATCAAAAATTTGGTAATTGTTTAAAATGTATGCACTTCTAAAATGTTCAACGCCATTTGTATACATACATAGTAAGCATATAACTACAACAGAATTGTTGGTGTAGACTTCAAGTTATTGTTTAACACTACTTACATGTAGCAATCTCTCTGTAAGTTATTTTTAAGAAATTGACAATTTCTCAGAGAATTTTAAGTTGCTTGTGATAGACCTGTAAGATAAGCAATAGACTTGTTATTAAGTTGTGATCGACTTATGACGACATGTGATTGTCTTGTGATAATCTTGTAATCGACATGTGATAGTATTGTAACAGTCTTGTGATTGTCTTTTGATTGTCTTATGATAACTTGTGATTGCTTTGTGAGCACTTATGATTTTGATTACCCTCTTGATTGTCCCTTCTCACTTTACGTGATCAGTTGTGCTCTGGTGGCTACACACCGAAATATGAGGCTTGTGATTGCTTATGATCACCTTGTGTCTGACTTGTGATTGACTTATGATGACGTGTGATCGACTTGTACTCACCCATATGGTCAAAAGTGCTCTGGTGGTTTGCAATGTAAGGGTTGCAATTGTCTTATGATTGTCTTATGATTGTCTTGTGCTTGTCTTGTGATTGTCTTATGATTGTTCTATGGTGACTTATGATTGACGTTACCTAATGTATGTGGTCAATTAGTGTTGTGGTTACACACAGCAATATGATAAGGCTTGTGACTGCCTTGTGATTGCCTCGTCTGACTTATGATTGATTTATAGTGACTTGTGATGACTGTGATTGGCTTGTACTCACCTATGTGATCGATAGTGCTCTGGTAGTTGCACACAGCAATATTACATGTATAAGGCTTGTGACTGCCTTGTGATTGATTTATATTGCTCATTACTACTGTAATCGCTGTGATATAGTTATACTATGAATAGCGTACCTAAATGCATAATAATAATAATAATAATAATAATAGTGGCTTGTGATGGACTTGTGATGACTGTGATTGATTTGTACTCACCTATGTGGTCGATAGTGCTCTGGTGGTTACACACAACAATGTAAGGCTTATCAGACTTGAGGTGTTCCAGACCCGTGGCACTCACTTTGATGCCAAACAAGTGTTTGACAGTGAGACGGGTGAAGAGTGCAGGCCATCTTTAAAAACAAAATCGGTATTTAAGAAAAATCAATTATTGCACCATCAAGTACACATGTGGTCTACCAAAGTTTAAGAAAATGACAAGAATGGGGCGGATCCAGGTGTATTTTTTTTGGGGGGGCCTTCTTAACGGCTTTCAAGTGAGGGTTTTACAGGCATCCAGTTATTTTCCTTTTATGTCAGCCTAAGAGGGGAGTTGATTCTAACATCTTGTTGCTTGCTGTGCGTCTTGGCTGTGATGCTTCCCCTTTTGAGTTTGATTTGCACACTTACGGTAGGCATCATGTGTACGTGTAACGCAGCACCCTTTTGGTGTGCACGTAGTTGTTTGAATTAGGTTCAGCGCTACGTCATGGCTCGATCTGACAATCGACGTGCTGTCCACATCGGACTTAATATGGCCGCCACGGTCCACCATTTTGAGTCCGTGTCCACTGATTAAAGGCAAATTCTTACCTGATATTGTCAACATCCCCAGGTTTCAGTAACATGAATGGGATAGCGACACAGCCTATAGCAGGATAGCAGCAGTTGTAAAGGTAGTACTTGGTCTGGAACCGGACCGTCCGACTCGTCAGTAAGAGGACCAGGTAGAGCACCAGACCGGTGATCAAAACCGTTCCCACAAAGTCCATGGGAGAAGACGGGGTAATAGACTCGCTGTCAGACTCCATTAGGGATGCTTCAAATTGGTCTCAAAACCTGAGGACGTTGGAAACGAAATTAGGATGCTGAATATTAGAAGCTGAATATTAGAAGTTGATTTTGAATTTAAATCTCTGATCCTGGGATTCGAAATTTGTTTGTTATGGACAATACAGGACAAGTAATTACAAGAACACACAAGCCAATCACAAGTTATCACAAGTAATCACAACCATTTTTCACAAGTCAATCATAAGTAATCATAAGCCACTCACAAGAAATCACAAATCACCACAAGTACTCACAAGCCAAAATCACGCCAATCACAAGTGATCACGAGTAATCACAACCAACTTTCACAAGTCAATCACAATTCACAAGTAATCATAAGCCAATCACAAGAAATCAGAAATCACCACAAGTCACCACAAGTCATCACAAGTCATCACAAGTAATCACATTTACAAGTCATCACAAGCCTTCACAAGTCATCATGAGTAATGTCGCAAGTCATCACAAGTCATCACAAGCCTTCACAAGTCATCACAAGTCATCACAATTCACAAGTCATCACATGTAATCACATTTACAAGTCATCACAAGCCTTCACAAGTCATCACGAGTAATGTCGCAATTCATCACAAGTCATCACAAGCCTTCACAAGACATCACGAGTAATGTCGCAAGTCATCACAAGTCATCACATGTCATCACAGGTCTTCAAAAGTTATCACAAGTTATCACAAGCATCAAAAGTTCTCACAAATCTTCCAGTCTCTCATGACATGGTCAACTGGCAATCTACTCGTGCCATCATGGCCATACTTGGTTACAACCATTGTATATGGAGATCAATGGTTACAACTCTCACAATGATATAATTTAATGTCGACCTATGAACTTGTGTCGGCGCATTGTACGAGTAGTCTGTGAAGTGTTCTATAAAACTTAATAGACCTTTTTACAGACAACTGCCAGACCGGGAATGTACCGGTACAATGAATGTGTAATTATGCTGCACTGCATTGTGAGGCATGTGAGTTTCACTGCACGGAATCACCATTTGTAGTGCAAACTGTCCCAGTATACAACTCAGCCTATGTGCACCTTTCACATGTCCAATCTATCTGTAAAGGGCTCATGGACTGTCATGAAACAACTGAAATTGTGTTATACATACAACTGTTACAGTTCCAGAAAACCTGCATTAGCTACATCATGGAGGAATAATGTATGTAGCCAGGCTGCATAACTACTAAATGATTAATGAGTTGCAGCATACACCGTACACACGTACATGACGTAGGCCCACTGGTTATCAATTCCAACAGATTTGTGTACATAACAATCATTGACACTCCTTGACCTTTGCACCTCCGTATTATTCCTGACTCTTCTGATCAGAATATTTGTGAACACAAAGCTTATTTCTCCATGATTGATACATGGATTATGGTGTTGGTGATTCACACAGTTTATCATTATCAAATATTAATGAAATTGCGCAGTGTCAATTTATGAATTTTTCATTTACGAGATGTAAAACAAAGCATGAAATGGCATTCAAATCTTAAATAAATGAACATGGAAATACAAATTGAAATCCACCGCAGTTGAGAGATTTGGCAGTTTTCGCAGTTCCTCAACAATTTATAATGGCTTCTGTTGGAGAAAAGCTACATATCCTGGCATTTCGCCTAGTCTGTAACTGTTCACTTTTTTCAGCATGTTTACTCGAACTACATGTATACAACTTTTTATAGCTAAGCTCCATGCTCGTACTCACCCAACTGACAACTGAAATCATCCCGCTATCCAACTGTCAAATCGCTCTGGTTTTCCCTCAATTTCTTCGTTTGATGACGGCTAGAAACACAGCACATGCTCCACTGTACGACTTGCTAACCAATTTTGATAGTATTCGCGAATATTTTCGCGACAACAATTATAATTTCGGCTTCGGAACGTTCGACTTTTATCGGGTTGCGCTGCAGACACAACATAACTGTCATGGCAAAAGGTCAAAGTTGAACTGCCTTGGTCGAAACTATGGAGCGCCTAGAGAATCAATTCTAAGTGTCGCGATTTATAGTTCCTCTGTAAAATTGTGAAGCTTAAGACTTCTACATGTATGGTAAAGCAAATTTCCTTACATTTGGTTTCGTGGCGATATTCTTATTAATTTCCAGAAACCTGGCTTCAGGATAATCCAGAGACACAAGAAGAATGAGGTCAAGGTCAACCCGCGGACGTCCAAGAAGGAAAAGGGAACCTTCTCTGGCGGCATGTCCAAGAATCGACGATCAAAAGGAATCGCCAAGAAAAGAAAGTATGAAAATTGAAGTGTTTTAGAATGTGCAATTCTAAAACACATTGATGGAAAAATGTTGCAACCTGACTCCACTACCGCGATTGCTTTCAAAGTCTATGGAGGGTCAAGAACATTTTCGAAGTATTTCCTATGTTTCTCAGTCCAAGATTCATGTCTTATCATCATTTTTGCAATGAATGACCTTCCTTGAGATGATTATATGAAGAAAAAGGTGGCATCAGGTTGCAACATTTTTTCAAATTTATGTTTAAAAAAGGCTTTCTTCGGGCATACTAGGCATCTTATTAATAAAAAAAATGTAGCCTCCAGAACCAGGAGTAATTTATTCCTATAATTTCTGTTTTGAATTAATGTCAAGGTTGAACGTCAGTACCAACACGACACCGTCAGGGAAGAAGCTCCGAAAACTCCTGAAAACGAGGCTAAGGAACGAAAGGGAGGCTAATGAGATGCAAGGTAAATATTATTGTTTATGACGTCAATTATTTTGGGTTTTTTTTTAATTGTAGGCCTAATTCATTTTTAATGTCAAATCTCCAAATTGCATCCAGTATTAGTGCAGAAATTATGTGAATTATTTCTTGTAGTACATTTGTTTATACATTTGTGTAAATGAAATTGACTTTTCTTGTACACAAATTAAACGGTCTTTCCTTGAAGTTTAACAATATATAGCCGTGTGAAGCTTTTTTATTTGGCGTTTCATAGACTCATAAAAAAATTTCCTTGTTTTTTTCTCCATGTCCATTTTCCTTTTCATTTCAGAAAATCTAATTTACATAAAAAGTTATTTACTTATTGTCATATGCAGATATCTTTTTTATAAATCAAATTTAAATGTCCTTGTTTTGCTTGTAATTTAACAATACTTCGTGTAATTTCGTTTGGCGTTTCATAGGCTCTTGGGGAAAAAATCCAAACCCGTTTCTCCATTCCCATGTTCCTTTTCATTTTGGACGATTGTGGTCAATATCGTATTTACAGGCAGGTTGGCTTATTTTCACAAGTACTTTTCGTTTCTCTCATTTATTATCCAGTGGAATTAATGTCAGTCTCGAGAAAACAAAGCAGGAAAAGTAACAAATCGAAGAGCGCAAAACAGTCGACGCAAGGAGCGGACATTGACAGCGGCGGAGGGGCGGATGTGGACATGGCCAAGGTCTAATTGGATTCACGAACCGATACACATTTTACTTTTGTAAATCTTTGTGGAAATCATTTCTACAACTGTAAATGTTTACCATGAACTCTGTACAATCAAAATGGTAAAGTGGAATAGGATGAGATGATGGCTTATAATGAGCTTAATAAAGGATTTGTTTTCGTCTGGGTAATTTTACCTGTTTGTCTTGTTTTGATATTTGATTTTGGGGTTTTGTTTTACCTAATATGTGGCCCTGCAATGTTTTACTGTGCGCCCTCTCGCAGATAATAACTTGTCAATTTTATTGGGGGCGGGTTTTGCTTACTTGTGGAGGCTATGTTGGCGCACGCGTCCGTTTACTTTAACTTTCAGTGTTTTTCTTTTACAAAAAACAAGCCAGTTAAAGTATAATATAGAGATGAGGCAATGATTTAACATGAACACCTCAAACATTACTTGAACTGTGTTAAAATGGTGCCTTGTGACACCAAGTCATGTATGTTAACAACGAAAGTCGACGGTTAAAATTATTCCAAATTTCCAAAATAACCTTTGGAAGCAGTTATTACGCAGGTAAAAATGAACAGTGCCAGGAATTTGGTAACGTACAGTAATGGCAAACAAAAGATGTTTCGGTACTCCGCGACGAAAATTAGACAATTATTGTTGCGAACACTATACTGATTTTTGCTGTCAAAACGTCTGCCAAACATAATTTTAAGTCTTCGAATTCATAAGGAAAAAAAATCCGCGAGACGATGATATAAAAAAATGTACGAAAGTCGAATTCCGACCAAAGCCCTGTTTATAGGGTTATAAAACGGGCATGCACATGGTGTGACCTTCCAGGGTGTTGTTTGTTTTTTTGAAGAAGAAGAAGATAGTATTTTCTTTGACAAAAGGTTTTACAATACACGTACTTGCATTCGAATTCTGTGATGCCAAGTTGTCCTTGGCCCAAACAAACCGGACTATCCAGTGGTCTTATGAATAATTTGTGTCATTGTTGGCCATCGGTCCGCCACAAAAAAAACACCCACAGACCTTTGGTGACATTTTGAGAGTTGCTCAAGCGTGGAAGCTTACTGCACAACAGGCCGTGTTAGTGTGTGCAGAGAAACTGAGTGTCGTCCTATGAGACATATGCATTAATTGTTCTCTTACATAATACATGTATACGCATGGCTGTTGCAGTGCAGTGATCATCGACGTAAAAAGTGTATATGTAGGTACGTAAAAATCATGTCATTTTCTCGGTAGAACTTTCAGTAATTACCATGTTTTTATTGGTACCTATCTCATGTAGGTTCCATCAGGTTTGATACTTTCCAGTCTTGGTCTGTAAATGAGAAGTAGTACAATGAATATAGTTGGTTTGGACATTGAGGTAGGTCAGACCAGTCTGTACAGGGTGTAGCGCTAATACAGTAACTACCAAATACAACTATACATGTACATGTATGTAGGTGTGGCTTCGCCCCTCTGTAGGCTTTACAGGCCTCAGTGTAGCTTGGGTGGGAAGGGGGGGGGGCTGGACTAATCCAGAGCCTGTCCTGCCCCGAATAAGTTGTCGTTTCAGATGTCAATTTTAATTTACTAACTGTCCAAAAAAATCATGATTCAAAGACACGGTCACCAGTATTTCACCAGCCAAGTTTGAGGTCTCAATTGAATGTTTACTTTTCTTCAACATCATTGCACTAGGGGGTGAAGCCAAGTGATTTCAGTTTGAAGCCTAAGACTAGACTGGTACATGTTCAGCAGTTCGGTGGCATGGCTATACGGAATTGTGTAACAACAGAGACTGGGTACCAGATGTTTCTTTTGACATGCACTGTTGACCGATGCAGTACTGTCATATGCCAGTCTATTTTCTTGTATTGCATGTTTTCACTACCTTAAGTTTTAGGACTCTCATACACAGTATTGAGAGTCCCAAATTTTCGCACTTGGGACAGATTCCCATATCTGGCCATCACTTGTCACCCTGTGCACAAACCCTATGAGAATGGTCTGAACATTTCAAAGTGTTTTCTCAGTAAATACTTCAATATTTTCCCTGCTAAATTTTAACTTTTAGGACATATCACTTTCTGATGGCTGATACGTCAAGCTGAAGGGAAAATTAGTGATGGCCAGATATAGGAATTTTGCCGGACGTGTTCCGAGTCATTATATTTGTAGAGAGAATTGGGGACTTTTGAGCAGTCAACTAATGAGACCCTGCATATCAGTGAGGTCTTATAATCAGTGAAGCATGTTTTGCGATGTTGTATGATATTGACGAAAAGATGAGCCTACGATGTAATTAAAATACTTTATATTAACATATAATTTATCATCGCTGAGACGAAAGGGGAACAGCTACCCTATATGCCCTTAGTTTACACCACTAATTTCCAAATTTATTTTGTTCCAGGCCAATAGCTCATCCATCCATCCGCCATGATGCTTCTTAGCCGCAAAACAAGTCGTGCCTTATCCATCTTTTTCATTTGTCTTGCGATTGTCGGTTTCTACGTGTACCTGAACTCCTCAACACAAGGTAGGATGCTATACTGTAGATAGAGAAAATCGGATTAACTATTTCACTGCTTGGTCCAAGACTAGTTTGTATTTTTTTGTTTTACTTTGTTCTGATTCAAAACAAAGTTACTTTTGAATAGTTCCATGTATATTTTGATATAAGAAAATAAAGATGCAATTCTGAACGCTCAAACAAAAAATGATTTTGGATTTCAGATGAGGAGCACGTTCGTACGAAGCAATCCTTCGACATAACCCCCACTTTGGGTAGGACTGTCCACCCCTCTGATGTCAGAACAGCCAGCATCAACAATGATACGGAGGCCGAGAAAGGTCCCGCCAAAATAGACCCCGAAACTGTCCAAGCAATCGATAGTGGGAATACGAAAGTCGAGTCAATCGAAAAGAGCAGAGTCGATAAGAACTTTATAGATTTGGACCAAATGGATGCCGAGGAGCTGTTTAACCGAACGGCCATCGTGACGGCGATATCGCAGAATCACTTCCGAGAATCGAAGGGAATGATCGGCAGCGTGCAGGAGATTTTGCCCCACAAAAAGATCATCGTTTATGACTTGGGATTGACACCGCAGGGTGTCACTGAGGTATGTTGCTTATGTTACTTTCCTGAGAGACCTATGCATATTTGCCATTTCTCATGCCATTGTTCATTGACCTATCGCCGTTTGCGAGTTAGCCACGCCCCTTAGACAACCCTATGGAATTTGTGTACCTTAAGTTTTGTTTGTCTCAGATTTTGCGCGTTCCGCGTCCAAGTACAGTCGACTCTCGTTAATACAAAGTAAGCCGAACTGTATGTTATATCAGAATTTTTGTATTTAGAGGAACAATTACGGTCCCATTCATTGTGCACATAAAGCACAGTTGGGACCAAGGCTTTATGTTTGTTATACATGTTGTATTAACAGTGTTTGTATTAACGGGACTCGACTGTATGTCATGTAATACGGGCGATTCCCAATAGTGCGCCTCCAAGAGTTTTCAACGCGTTGGCCAATCACGTTGCGCGAAATCAGTCGACCTTTTCCAAACGCGCATTGGGTCGACAGATTTTGCGCATTGTGATTGGCCAACGTGTTGCAAACTCTTGGAGGCGCACTATTGGGAATCGCCCGTATTGGACAAAATAATTAGAAGCTTCGTTGACGCGATTCTACCGCGATAGGATTATTGTGTAACCTCTGGCCTACTGCTCAGCTCCCATGAGCTGTTAATAATATTGCAACCATGATACCTGTCTGTCAATCTAGCAGTGCGTATTGACCAATTAAATCACGCCAACTCTGTAAAAAATGCTCTAAATGTGGGCGGGACTTGCAGCCATTTTTATAGAGCGCCAGGACGGTAGTTCCAAGCAAAACGCCCGGTTAGCAAATCCTTCTTTGATCAAATTCTGTTTTAACCTTAACTCGAATGGCAAAGCCGGCCCTTTTTTGCTGATACTTTATACGTGCTGTGCTTCTTCCTAGGCCAAACGACTGTGCAACGTTGAGCTACGAAGTTTCGACTTCTCCAAATATCCGCCGCACGTGAAGAACCTGTATAAATATTCCTGGAAACCGCTGATAATAAGGGTAAGCACTCGAGTAATGGAATGGTCCCAAGCACGTACCAAATCTTTGGCATATGGCTTCTTGGTAGCACCCCTTGAAGAAGACATTAAATGGCTCAAGTTTGTAGAGCTTCGGTATGGTATTGCAGACGATGCACGTTCATAGCTTTTTCCAGTAAACCTACTCGTAAGTGCACTCAGTCCATTTCCATGTGCAAGGGCGTCGCTAGAACATTTTCAATGGGGGGGGGGGGGGGGGGGGGGGGGTGGGGATGTCGGACAAAATTTGCCATTAAGTTTGCGTAAAAACATCCGACAAGCCAAAAAAGTCCTCAAATTTACAAATATGCCGACAGAAAAGTTTATATGAGGTGTGAAAAGTGAAGTTTGCCGACAAACTTGCAAGAAAATATTTGACTGGCAAAAAATGTCCTCAGATTTCAAAATTTGCCGACAATAGTTAAAGAATATAAATAAAAGGCCCCAAATTGTACACATTTGCCGACAACAACTATGATTTGCTGAAATGTTGAATGGGGGTGCCCCGCCCCCCTCTAGCGACGGCCCTGTCTCTTTATCACAATTTGTTTGTTGAACAGGAGTCAAATCCATCATTGCGAAGGGGTGGCATTGAAAGAGTTCATTTTGAAGAGGTTGTACATTGTATAAACTTGACTTGAGACTGGATGATTTGTGATTAACATGAATGTTTGACGACAAACTCTAGTTTGCTTTTTCTTTTCTATTTTTTTCAGGATGCATTGGAAGAGTTCGGTGTGGTATTTTGGGGCGACGCCTCTGCCCGAATACAGAAGGACCCTTTGGTTCTCTTCCCGGTACTGAAACAGCAGCAGGGTTTCATGGCGATCGTGGAGCAGTACGGGAGCTCCAAGATGCTGGCCCGCACCAACCCGAAGATGTTCAAAGAGCTCCAGATAAACATGGAGAAATTCGTCAAAGACGACGGCTATTCCATGTGCATGGAAGGCAACCGGTTGTTGTTCGCGAACACACCCCAAGTCCAAACCAAGATTATCGAACCGTGGGTCGAGTGCGCTTTGAGAGAAGAGTGCATCGCGCCAGCGGGCAGCGTTCGAGGTATCAACCAGAAGAAACCAGACAAACACACGCATCGGTACGATCAGGCTGCGCTCGCACTCATCGTATACAGAAACTTGAGAGGTCTTTTGAATCAAGACAATGACCAATCAAAACTCTTCTTCTCAGTGGCCGGACTGACGCGATCCGCTAAAGGGTCAGAGAAGGCCAAAAACTGTAAAGTATGAAGTCTCTTCAAAAAGCATTAATTCCTCAATTATTACATTGTATTTGTAACTCTGACATGGTTGTGCCCAGTTTACGCCATCAGGTCCATTTAGGACCGTTACAATAGTTTTGCTTAACCTTTTTTTTTTTTTTTTTATAGTTCACCGACTTCCATTTTCAAATTGAATTTCGGAGATCCACCCCCCCCCCCATTTTCTGGTTTGGTTGGCCCACCAATCAGCTGAAAGTTCTTATTGCTTGCTTGAGCTTCACCTGAACATTGCATACAAGACAATGGAACCTATATTATGCACCTATCAAATGTAACCCCCCCCCCCCCCTGCGTTACCCCAGGTCCGATGTCAAGATTTGGTCACGTTTTTCATGCCCCAGGGTGGGGATTTTGGTCACTCAAAATACATTGTTACCATTGGCGTACTACATGGAAAGGTAATCACTAGTGCGCCCCACGTATGTATGTCGGGGCATGGTCGGGGATTGTCACTTAAATTTTGCCCGAGGGGTGGGGATTGTGTCACTTCAAAAGTGACAATCCTCACGTCTTAAGTGGGGCAGCCCGGGGATGGGTATAGGGGAAACAATTTTTGATCATTAATAGCCGCATTTACGTTTAAAAATGTCAGTAAGTTAGGCTGTTGAAGGTAAAGTAGTTGAGCAGGCATATTTTCTTGTGATGTGCTTCATAGATCTTAAGACTACAAATTAAGTTGACATTAACTAAATCTCTAAATTTGCGAAAGCATAGACTTCTGTGAAATAAATTTTCGAATGTCATTACTGTAACTGATAAACGCTGCCCTCAATGTTATCAATAAACTACATGTTTTCAAACTCAGGCTTTGTCTGCAGCCGTGGCTACACGAGGGATTTGGCCGGTTTCTTGTTTTCGAGATTATTATGCCTGAAGAAACCAGAGGAGACATTGAGAATAAATTGCAGTTGTAGAGGTGGGAGGAAAACCCTAGAAAAAAATATTTAGGGGGAAACCAAGAAATGTCAAGTGTAACATGAGATCAAAGTCTCAATTATTTTCTTGTGGTTAATTTAAAAAAAAAAAAAATATGGAGCCAGAAATGAATCTGATCCGGAGTCGAAGCCGAGGTTTTGCACCTTTGCTAATTCTCTTAATCTTGAGACACACATCAAATCAAAACTTATTTCATCATCATTCATTTTCTGTTCGTTTTGTTGGGGGAAATCCGATGACTTTTCGGGAGAAATTTCCATCAAAATGATCTCCCCTAAAAAGTAGTCATGAAGCCATCGCCATTTTGAAATAAAAATGGTGCCTACACTCCATTGCAAAATATAGAGCAACTTTAGGGCCTAATTCATCCAAATTTCACAAAAACACAAATTCGCAGTCCTGTTCACGGTTGTTTTTTTACAAACCCTCAGAATCGTGTGGTTTTTTTTAACAAACCCTCAAGTTCGTGGTAAACAAAATGCTCTGATGACAGGGAATTTGAGGACATGCAAATCGTGATTTGGACCTTTTATTGTTTGTTCCCAAAAATGTTGCTACAGCGCCCTCATGCGATTGTGAATATATATTATTATTGCAAAATAAATTATTATTTATTGTGGATTTTGTTATAGGGGTCACTTATTGCCAAAGGTTGTCAGATTTTAGTTTATCAGCTGATTATAACTCTTTCGAAATGAAAGAAGAGCATTTCGAATTTCTTTTCTTCTTCTTCTTCTTTTTTTTGGGGGGGGGCAAGATTTTTTTCAAGAGCCAAGTTTCATGATGTTAAGACAGCGTATAGGCATTCAAATCCTCACATTAACTGCATGGTCGTTTTCCATCAGAGCTGACATACCGGCGAATCGACCATTTTGGCGATTTGGAGATTTTGTTATATTGGGTTTTTTTTTTAAAAAACGTGATCTGTGAATTTTTATCTTGTTGATATCAGATTAAAGCTGAGAGTTTTGTTGTTCTTTTTCAAATACTGAAGAAAAAAATCATGAAAACAGCACACTACTAATCACAAAAAAATATCAAATCAATCCTTGAGTTACCGTCTGGAAACGAGTATGCTGGGGTTTTATTCCATATTGACAATAATCCTTTGTGAAGAGAATCACACCGGAGAAAAGCACTGTGGTCACTCGGCAACCATTTATTCGCTTGAAACAGTCCAACAAGCATGGTTTAACAATCACATGTACAATTTACCTGCTACCAGTTCTAATAAATGACAGGTCCATGTAACTACCAGCATGGCTAAATATATTCCCATAGTTACCACTTACATGCTAACGGTTATAACATTCCAATACTACGGCTATCCCTACACCTAGAAGCGCAATTGCTTCACCCAAGTCCCAAGGGACTATACGGCTATCCCTACACTAATTTAGAAGCGCAATCACTTCTCACAAGTCCCAATGGACTACGGATATCCGTCCAGTTAGAAGCGCAATCGCTTCTCCAAAAGTCCCAATGGACTACGAATATCCGTACATGCAGTTAGAAACGCAATCGCTTCTCACAAGTCCCAGGGGACTATAGATGTCCCTACATTTAGAAGCGCAGTCGCTTGTCGCAAAAATAAGCGCAATCGCTTCTCACACTTAGAAGCGCCATCGCTTTTCGCAAGCTGATAAACGCTGCGGATAAATCACTTATCCGCAGCACAAGAGCCCATGGAGGGAGATTGGCTGAGATCCATCATTCCAAGGATAATGGACGTGAGCCAGCACCCCCGGCGATAGTGGCTCGTCCGTTTGTGCTGACCCTTGGCCTACCACTCAAAATTTGACAAATGGACCATCTCACCTCTCTCTCCCTGGGCTCAAACCATCCAAACACCCATACCTCCATTATTTTTTTTTTTTTTTTTTTTTTTTGGGTGGCCTGGTGAACCAGTTGTGGCCGACTGGTAATTTACTGGAGGCTATACGAAAACCTTAAGACATGTGATCAACTAAATACTGTTCTCCACTAAATCCTTGGATAAACCCAAAATCTAGGAAATTAATAATATACACATTACCCAATAATTTGGATCGTGCTGGTGTCTGATTTCGCACCACGGGTCCTTATGTTACAGCCTACTGTGGATAATTATTAACACAAACTTTGCTTTATCTAATTTGCCAACTTGACAATGTCAGTGTCTGGGATTAATTAAACCTTCGCATCATTGAATATCCACATCAGTTTTCCAGCCTTTTTCTTCCCGCTCACGTAACTCTCGGGTAGCCAATCGAGATATAGTCGCCGGCTACGAAAACTCAAAACTCGTTGAGAAAAATGAGAACCTATTTTTGGCCCCAAGCTTGCTATCTCATTCCAACCTGAAGATTGGATTCCCACTTACAGACTGCATTACGAGGTTACTTTTCCTATGAACCTTTTTATGTCTAATTTAAATGGGTGTCCACTCAGTGGCGCAAGCCAACGTGAAGTGCAGTTCACGCCAGAACCAGAACGCCTATACAATCGTAAATCCAGGAAAAAAACAACTATACTGATAAGTCATCGAAGGCGCTCAACCGCATGATATGTAATTATAGCCAGGAGTTGATCGGGTTGTGTTTTATTAAATTCCTTGTCCACTTCACAATTACGACATGAGCGGATACCGAATATTGTATAACAACCAATACCCCTAAGGCCTGAACGGCAACGTACCACTTGTTTTTAACCAACCTGGTTCAGCAATGCCTCCTGATTGACTTCGAATACAATTTTGTTATAATTTGGTTTGCCATCAAATCCTGAACGACTGTTCCGAATAATTCATTAATCAGTCAAATGATCGACAGCAAGTGTAACCGTAATACCTGCTCGATTGATGGCGTAACAAGCCTGGGTTTACCCAATAAGTCGGGATTGACTACAACTTGAACCTGGTTTACCACTAAGTCACGATCGACTGCAAATGCAATTATGTGTTACACCTCTTGTCAGTAATACCACTTCCGCATGATCAACTACCATGTTTAGTCGCCAATCGGCTGGTTTGCCAATTAATCACAATTCAGTAGCAAAATAATTATAATCCCTTCAATAGTCATATGCCCTACTACACTACGAATTGTCTCTAACCAACCTGGTATCCATAAATGATCGACTACAAGCAGTAATGCAATCAACCTGGTGTGCGTTTACAACGTGAGTATGTGACTCCATTAAAGACAACACTTAATTAAACGACCGTGTTTGTAACCCGCACGTATGACTTGTACTCCCCTTAAGTTAAGTGTACTGCAGGCACCCATTCACAAGTATGGTTCATATAATAACTCATGCGTTGACGTTAACTGCAATTTTACTTCAACTGGGGACAACCCCTAAGTCATGATCGGTTACGTGTTTCGGGAGCAACCCACAATACTGTTAATAACATGTGGCATATACTCGTATGATGCCGCTACTATATGCATTGACGATCTGGTGAATATCTGTGACTGTATGCCCTTAATGAACGTGTGCGGTAAAAGTCTTAAGTATTTAGTTCCATATCGCCCCTATATACCTCTTAAGCTACTACATGTATCTCAGTCAACGAACTTCGACCGGGCGGCTCACCGCCATGCTTGGGCTTCATACACTATTGGATGCGAACACCATTCCTGCATTTACAATAATCGTAAGGCTTCAACATAATAGCTGGTTCAACCGCCCGTCCTGTGATGTGTAAGTGTGCGTGTGGGTGATCTTGCTTTAGCACACGTTAGCCTTGAAACAAAATAAGTTACCCCCATGGACACCCCGTTGTCCCTACATTCAACAACCATTCGATACTCCGTATAGAGTGTTACAAACCGCTGAATTACGGAATAACAATTGCCTGTTTTGGTTTGTTCAATGTCCCCTTCACTGTGCCCCAAATTTGCCGGTGCTGAAGGGTACCGGACGTGTTTGGGCTAAAACAGTTTATGTTAATAGTCTGTCGCATGGGCTGCACAAGTCCGTAAGCCCTTTTAAGAGTTCGACTTGAGGAGGGTTTGTTGCGCGGTGTGCAACCAATCAAACCGTGATGAAAAATGTCCGACTCCTCCGTAGACATGTCCGGTTAAGCCCCGGGGCTTTTTGGCAGGGGCTGTCCGTCAATCGCCCGCGACATTCGAAAACCACCGTGTATGTGGCGATTGGGCAACGACACAACTGTCCGCACAAAATCTGTCCGACAATCTGACGGCAACGCTTTGCCTCGACTCCCCACAGCCTGGTCTGCAAGTTCTGTGTAAAGTGCTGGTGACACGCCAACCACTCCTTCCAAAGCAAGGAATCTGCAGACTGCACTAGTGGTTCCCAGGTCACCGATCCTGTGGCCGCCCCCGCCGACCTTAACTCATCGGGATGAGGCTGCCAGGCGCTTGCCATATCCTCGGGGTGCACCCTGTATATGGATCAAAAACAGAGCTTTTGTGAGGGACCTAGTAACCATTACGGCAATTCACATCTTGTCACAGATTAACACTTAATAACCCATCGTTGACTATGACCCACAATATGGCCGGTTGCAGTGCCCTACGCACTTTAATACTCTGTTCCATTAATTTGCTTAGGCAGCACCTTGACTGACACGTGAGTGGCGCCAAAATGTGCACACGCTAATGACAATTGCTCGTATGTAGGGCCTATGTATTGATTCATTTATTTATTTATCTATTTATGTACTTATGTAGTTAATCTTCCGCGACCGTGGATTTCACCCACCAAAGGGAAGGGGCCGGGGGCTCCCGCGTGCCTGTTTCCATCTGAAACTACTAGCCAGGAACTGGGCAAAGTGACACGTATTCGTGTTTGGTGGCGCCCCTCCCGCCTCCATATAGCCTACGCCATTGGCACCATGGCCTTTGCAATTATGGGAGCAATAAAAATGGCAACAATAGTTTTATCCAATAATTCTTCTGCTACCTTTTGAGGCAGTCCTCAAAGAACTGCACGCGAAAGCTTTCGGCATCCCTGTTGGGGACATTTTTTTTTCTTTTATTTACTAATAATTAATTTATTTCTTTTTAAATGTGCCCCTCTTGAGCTCTCTCCCCACACACATAATGTCCTGCTTTCCCTGACAAAACCATGTTGATGGTGTTGAGGCGGCATCAATGGGCAGACATTGTGCTATTTACGCGTTTTATTTCTGCATACATCCCTATCACTAGTATCAGACTACGCTCCCAACCGTTTGCTCAATGGTACCTAGTGAGAAACGGTTGCTCTCTGTGGCTTGCAGCCCCTAGCTACAACACCCAAGGTCGCCTGCAGCAACTATCCGACAACAATATCCAATTTGTTGCTGGCAGTTTTTGCTAATAGATACTATCTTAGTAAAGTGTTAATGTTATGGAACCTGGCATTTAGTTGTGTCCATCTAACTCCCTCTCATTCTCAAACTTGCCATGCTCTACAATTTTTCACTTCTCATCGTCGTTGATAAAGTGTAACTTTTGGTGACGTTATGTCATGTATGTCTCATACATTGGTATGCGGCATTCCAGTTGTGTTGAAACCTACGCCTTTCTCTATAGGGATTACCCGTAGTTTGTCTGCCCTACACCATGGAGGAAGGATTCCTTCCTCCATGCCTACACTTACAACTTACGACTACGAGCGCTCACATGGCCTAATAAAATCCCCACAATCCCCTTCCTCTCAACGTCTGCTCTACGTTATTCTGATTGTGGTAAGATTTGCAATCCTTGATTCTACCTGGAATTTCGACAATACACTAACGGGGGAACCAGCAAGTACTAAGCAAAGCTGCATGCAAAACGCTCCCTAGCTCCACTAAAAGGAGGGTAGGTCTGAACCTGTTGCTTATTAATTGGAGTGTGCGCTAATTCTAGGACACTCGGAAACTCACGAACATGCCCAGTCAACTCGGCCCAACACCCATTGTTATCTGAGCTTCAGGTATTACACAGTGGTAAAGGAATCTGCTCACCCGGTATGCATGAGAAGACGCTCCACGGACTTCAGGACATGTGGCCCGCCGCCGGTTGTCAAAGTAACGCCGTGGTCCGGTCACGCCCGATTCCGGTGGAACGGTGAGCAACCCGTTTGTCTCGGGTTCCCGTGCTCGGCCGGGGAGGGGAAAGCACACTGCCCTGCTAAAGGCAGACTCGATGTCGTGATGTCCGAGTCCAGTACCTTGACCCACTCCGGAGTTTGGCCGGTCCGTCCGGCCAACAACTCTCTGTCGGCGTTGCTAGCCCATGCTCGCTCGTCTAGCCCCTACGCAATATCGTTCCAGACCGGATCATCATCATGTCAAGCTTTCGGAATCGTCGCCTCGGCCAAAACGTTTCGATACGTCTGGGACTCCACCACCTCCCAGTTGGGCGGTCGCCTAAGCGATTAAACGGAGCGATCTGCGTTTTTATCGAACTACCTCAAGTCGGGCAAATTCTCGTTCCATGTTATTGCTGTTGTCATTCCGATTACAGTTAACGAGTAGCAATTAAATAAGTCGATTTTCTGAACACTAAAATCCTGAAACACATAGCGTGAACGAGAGCCCCGACAATCATTGACTGTATCAAGCGAAAAACAAACCGAAACTGAGCGGTCTTTGTGCCAGTGCTCTGGCATTGCGCGCGCTCTGGCAACTTGAGCAATGAACTCCTCATGACCGCCTGACAACCGATGCAGACCAGACATCCACTAGCTGACTCCCAGCGCGCACTCAAGTTACTTCGCCCATCACGACACTCAATGTGTGACCGCGGTGTGACCTTTCACAAAGGGGCCTGCGCTCGATGAGAGCGCAAGCCGTGTTACGGTGGTGACCACTATTAGTGTAGTGAGCCCTCTTTTGACAGAAAATGCCAGTTGGCAAAAGTGTGTGGGTAATGTCTTGTACAAAAGTAGTGGGAAAATATTTGGTCGTATTAAAGTTATCGCTTAACATTTACTTCTGATCATTTGATACACTTCTTTTGGACATCACGACCAATTGACAGGCAAAGTTTCAAGTCGATACAACTGGTATTTGTTGGCTTATCGTCTAGAAAACGAGTGTGTTGTTCATATTCCATTCCAGTTGAGTAAAATAATCCGGACAGAAGTCAACTTTCATTGAACAAAAATAACACATTCGTGTAGACAACATAACTCAAGAAGTAAATCGCCTATTGAATTGAAATTTATCCGAATTGTTTAAAATATTACGAGCAATAAACAGACAAAATTTTAATGCAATAGGCCATTTGTTTCTTGAGTTATGTTCTCCACAAACCGAATGTGCTGTTTTCTTATACGGCGCACGGTGACCACTATTAGTGTAGCGCGCCCTCTTTTGAAAGAACATGCCAGTTGACAAAAGTGTCTGTGTAAGGTCTAATACAAGACGGCGGGAAATAAAAGATTTGGCCGACATTTGCTTCTGAAAATTATTAGACATATTTCAGACATCGGGATCAATTGACGGACAAAGTTTCGAGTCAAAACAAAAGGCATTTCTAGGGTTATCGTCTGGAAAACGAGTGTGTTGTTTTTATTACATCCAAGTTGACTTGAATACGGACGTAAGTCGACCACTAAAGCGCAAAAACTGATAACAAATTCGTGTAGACAGCATAACTCAAGAACTAAATCGTCTATTGACTTGAAATTTAGTATAATTATTACAAATATAACGAGCAATAAACAGACAAAAGTGCAATACAATAGGTCATTTATTTCTTGAGTTATGTTCTCCACAAACCGCAAGTGTTGTTTTTGCTCCGTGAAAGTTGACTTTCGAACAGATTTATTTTTCGTGCTGAACACACAACATTCCTTTTGTTATATTATTTTTATTGATTGACTATTTCTATCAATAGTCAACAGAGTTGGGTAACATATTGTTACAAATCACAACGCAAAAACTGAAGTCAATACAACCGGTATTTCTTGAGTTATCGTCTCAACGAGTGCGTTGTGTTTTTCTTATAATGACACAAAATTCTATGTTCACAATTATCTTTTACATACGGCGCGCGGTGACCACTATTAGTGTAGCGCGCCCTCTTTTGAAAGAACATGCCAGATGACAAAAGTGTCTGGGTTATGTCTAATACAAGAGAGCGGGAAATAATTGGTTGTGTATCAAAGGATTTGGTCGACATTTGCGTCTGAAAATTAATAGACATATTTAAGATATCAGGACCGATTGACGGACACAAGTCCATAACAACCGGTATTTCTTGGGTTATCGTCTGGAAAACGAGTGTGTTGGGTTTTTTTTTACATTCAAGTTGACTATTGAATCCGAACTTAAGTCGACTTTCAGAGCACAAAAATAACACATTCGTGTGGACAACATAACTCAAGAAGTAAATCGTCTTTTGAATTGAAATTTGACCCAAATGGTTAAAATATAACGAGCAATACACAGACAAAATTTCAATACAATAAGATATTTGTTTCTTGAGTTATGTTCTCCACAAACCGAATGTGTTGTTTTTGTTCCATGAAAGTTGACTTACGAACAGATTTTATTTTTTTGTGCTGAACACACTACATTCTTTTTTTTATATTATTTGTATTGGTTGACAATTTCTATCAATAGTCAACAGAGTTGGGAAACATATTATTACTTATCACAAGACAAAATTTGAAGTCAATACAACCGGTATTTCTTGAGTTATCGTCTGGAAACGAGTGTGTTGCTGTTTTTTTTATAATGACACAAAATTCTATGTTCACAATTATCTTTTACGGCGCGCGGTGACCATTATTAGTGTAGCGCGCCCTCTTTTGAAAGAACATGCCAGTTGACAAATTTGTGTCTGGGTAGAATGTCTAATACAAGACGGCGGGAATACGTTTTTTTGATACGTTCACGATCAAGTAAAAACATATTGCACAACATGTCTGATTAAATAAGTTACCTGATGGATACTACGTTTCCTGTTTTATTTCGAATATACACCAAAAGGGTTATTATCGAAACATTAAGGGTAAAATACATTTCCAGAAAATTAAAGTGTCAAACTTCAAATGCGAATTACTCAAAACAGGTTTTCGCTTATTCGTCAGTATGTCAGCTCTGCGACACAACTATACACAATGTTATTTATACAAAGTACAATGCAAATATATGGTCGAAAGAACATCATATAAACAGAGTCGCGTTTTTGTTTGAATTCGTGTTTGGCGCCCGATTGTGTTGATACTTTCAAATGTTACGATGATGGGGAATAGAGGTTCGACAAGTTAAGTTCACAAATTTGTTTATGTCAACGAGCATAAAGCTCTTTTGGGGTTTTATGTTTGGGTTTGTTTTTCGTAGCAAGTGTTTTCAGCGGTTCACATTATATTATAGTACAGACGTTGGGGGAGAATACCCGTTTATTTTGATGCATTTCTTTGTGGTCATTTCTTTGCCGGAGTATTAAAAAAATGTATATATACTCAAGAGCAAACGTCTGCATCGCCTACCAAGTATTACCCAAAGTATGTTACTGACAAAAATAGCTTTATACTCCAGCTCCACGAGAAAGTTAATTTATTTGAGTTCTTGGTGTTGGATATTGTTTTTCATGAATATGAGCTACAGACTGCCATTTTGTGAATTAAATTACCAGTTTCAGGAAAAATCAAGTTTTAAACCATTTTCTTTGTTTTTTTTCCCTTCGCTGGTGCATGCCATCAAATGGGTTTTGGATGCGACATTGCTTGGTAGAGTGCCATGGATTCTTTGGGGTTTTTTATAATAAAAGTTTTCATCTTTTCCTTTTCAATGACTTTTTATATTCTGCTCACCGTGCTACTTAAATTGTGAGTAAATCTCATGTGGGACTTAAATTAAAGAATAAAGGTGGCTTGATTTTTTTTATCATTACATTAACAAATACGAATAGAGATCCTCTACCGCAAAAGCAGCCTAGAGTGTTAAAACCGTTTAGATGTTTATTGTGACTCCTCCAAACTTTTCTGGACCTCGTCAAAAGCTTGGGCTAGTTTGTGCTTGTCCGTCTTCCGGTAAAATATAGTCTCGAGTTCCTGAATCTTCTCGTTGATGATAGAGATTTCCTTGGAGAGTTCGGTCCTCTCGAAAGCAAGCTGGTTGGACCGGCTGGTGGCTGATCGCATCTCATTATAGTCTTGTCCCAAATCCTGCTTCTCTTTCACCCTCGTTTGAAGGTCATGGTCGTTGAGCTTGATGCTCTTGTTGAGAGATTTCAGTTTCTTTCCAAGGATTTCAACATCTTTCTTCAGGCCTAGGATGTTTTCGATATCCTTGGAGATGTCTGTTGTGTTCTTGTTGAGGAACATGACTCGCTTCCTCTCCAAAACATCCTGCTCAGTTTGCGTCTTCTCTGCGACCATGTTCTTCTTCAACAAATGCAGTTTGTTGATCTCTGCATCTAGTTGTTTGATTCTTTCTCTGATCTCACGCGCACGTACCCGGACCCTCTTCTCCACGATGTTGCTGAGGATGTTCCCGTGCTCCAGTTCTAGAGTGTTGTACTCCTCCTGTTTCAGACGCTGTAGGCGTTTGGTCTTGATGAGCTTGAACTGGATGTCCTCCATGTAGATCTGATCGTTGGCGCGCCACTTGCCGAGGAGATGAAGCACGAAGTGAAACTTCTGGAAGAGGTCGGGCATGAGCCTCAGCACTGGATATCTCTTAGTATCGCAGGTCTCAGCGACCTCTAAAGAAAACTTGTCTGAGCTAAAAAGCTTTTGGTTGACCCCAGTTTGCGATTCGTTCAGGAGCACTGCAGTTCCTTGCAGATTGTTCTTAAGTTCCAAATTGGTGGCCCGAGCCCATTTCAAGTCAAACTCCCCTTCCAGGGATTGATAGTTCCGACAGAAGCTTTGTACGATGGTGTACAGGTCCCTGACATCTTCCAAGAGATCCGAGAGGGCTTTCACCGCGCGCTGGAAGGCGTGCATGAAGGTGTTCAGGTCCTTACTGAAGCCAGCATCGCGGACTCCTCCGGGGCGTCGCACCTCGTTACTGGTCCGGGCGAAGAGGTCCACATCGGCCCAGGATGCCACCCGAGGTACCAAGTTCTTGATCCTCTTCACTCGGTGCTTGGTCTTGAAGATCTCCTCCACGTGAATCAGGAACTGGATGGGCTCGATTCCGCCGTAGAACAACTTCTCGATCTTGTTGATGAGTCTCACTTTCAGGGTTTTCAGTTCTCTGTCGATGTAATCGTAGACGTCTTGGATTGAGTGTGGCGGGTCATCCCCTTGCCACATGTGGGAGGGCATTCTTGGTACTGGTGGAAATATCCAAACTCCAAAATCAAAATCTTGTCAGTGACAACTTGAAAAGTTGTCAAAGTAGGATCTTTTGTTGTTATCAGCTCTCCATCTCTACTTTAGAACATTGACTCCAGGAAGAGTAATATTTGTCCTCTTCATCTATAAGTTTTTTCTGTGGATGACCAATCATGCGGTGCCAAGTTTCTGCAGAACTTGTTCACAGGAAAGAGTTACGTTAACACATGCTTACCATCATAACCACTTGTACAAAAGCTTGCAGTGTGGAGATACATGCATACATTTTTGGCTCACCATACCTATTTTGTTTTGTTGTGGTTACAAAGGAATCCACGAGGTGGTCTGCGGCACTAAACGCAACCAGGGTAGTATCGAACCGACATCACTAAGACCGCCAGTTATATGCAAATCGATGACGAATCGATTCCTTGTCAGAGGAGGGGCCAAGGAACATAAAATATATTCCATCGTGAGGTAAACACGCTTAGAGCTTAAAGAGGGGGAATATAGGCTTATTAAAACGGATAGGAAGCCAAAAAGTCATGGGAATCATAACTGCAGCTGAGTTTTGCTATGCACTGAGATTATGCTTTTTCTACTGTTGAGCAGTTGTGTGAAATTGTATATTGTATCAAAACGAAAACTGCTGAACGTTGATCACATGCGGACCTAAAATGCGTTATAGCTGAGTGTCTGGTAACAATGAATGCACAAAATGGGTTTACCCATGCCTGTCCAGGTGGTACAAAACCAAGTTGCCCTCCGACTCCGCCTTAACGGATACGGTCTATAACTGGGAATTTGGCGTGGTTTTATCCATTCATTTGAAAATCATGATGAACATTTTGCGTTAATGTATACCCTCTCCGTGAAATGGAGACTTCCGTGCATAACTTTGAAAGCAGTTGGACCAAAATAGCACCTGGGTTTGTCAATGTGCGCTCCGTGCGCTAACCATAGCTTGGCACACTCCTTTTAGTGCTTCTTTGCCTCGATTTGTCGCTTTCGGGGCTTTCACCAGGCTAGGAGTGATTAAATATAACTTGTAATTGCCTCCGCGGAGTAGGGGAAATATCGACTGGGAGAGGTTTGCCTCTCATCGGGGGAATTCTAAACACGATCAAGGTGGATAATGCCGCCTTTATCGCCGCTAAAATATGGATTGGACAAATCAATAAGTTAACGGGCCGACCTTCGTGAATAATTAAAGAAGCAACACATGGCGTTCCATAGCACATAATTTGGCTGCAAAAATGTGTTTACTACGGGCGTGTAGAAACGTCGAGAGATGTTTTGGGATTAGGGGAGGGGCATACACTGACACGGGGGAGGCGATGCGACCCGCCCAACTTTCGAGCACTTCCATTTTCCGGACAAAATTGAAAACAATGCTAACGAAATTTGGCCATATATTGACTCTTCTGCAACTTTTGCAAGTGTCCCAGAAATGCCTTTTGATGCATGACAAGCAAGATTCCTATTTTATATTAAATGAGGGAAAAGGAAGCCCTTTTTTATATTATTTTACAATTAAAAAAAAGGTAAACGAATAGTCGGCATTCATTTTGTTTTACTTGATTTCAAAATATAGAGAAACAAAACCCAGTTACTTTTTGCTTTTTGTTTTCACTTTTGGCACCTTTTCCATCTGGCTGATGACGTCACCTCTACACAACATATCCCATTTTAGCCCAAATTGGGTTGCGATGGGATTACCCTAGCTTTTTGACTGCAGCAAAAAGGCCGGAAAAAAACAAATTTCATTGTCCGTTTTGATGGAAAACAAAACTATAAAAAAGAGGAATGAAACTCATTTTCCATTTTTGGATTGAACAGGCAAAAAACGAAAAAGAATCAATTAAAGGCCGTTTTGCTTTTGGGCAACAAAAAGTTCCATTTTCTTTGGACAGCTGGAAACCAGCACCAACTTTTAAGACTAGGTTTAAGCGCTAGCACTGAGCGCCACTGCAGATTCGATGGGAACGATATAAAGAGCCTTACTCTTTGCAACCGTTGAGGGGGTACTTCTGCGGACCTATTCATTGAAGACTAGGGCTAGGCAGGGAAGGGCAGGGCCAGCGGACGGGACAGATTCGGTGCATTTTACTCCGTTTTGCGGAATCGGTATCCGCTGAAAATGGCTGGAAAAGATGTGGTGACATCCCTCGTGGTTTCGTCATTAGTTCTCCAGTATTTGATCGCATGTGTGGCGGCATCTGTTCACGGTAAGTCTTTAGATCTCCGAAGGGTAACTTAGTTTGTTGACAGACCGGCCATCTTGTTGTATACAGCAACACTGTACTGACTTGGTAAATTGTGTTATGTGTATTCATGTACACATTTATCCAGTGTTACACTGCAATGTTAAGTTAATATGTACCCTCCATGTTTTACTCAGGGTAATTGTAGCATTTACATGTTGCTATGAGCAGGCGTTAAATCCTAATCATGCTAATTTTTCACCAACGTGACCAACACTGACCAACATGACCAATACCGGCTATGCCTATATTTGTTATTGTTTAGTGAGTTAGTCATGTTGTTAGTCCGAGTAACTTGGGCGATCGTGAAGTGAAGGGCCCGGTTCCTATAAGGGAACAAAATCCACTTTAAAAATTATTAGACCTACCAAACTAGTTGGCGACATTCTTAATAAACAGGTATGTCATAGATCATGTAGATAGAGGGCAGGGTTTAGATTTTTTGAGGGAAATTTGGTGGTAAAATGACGATGACAACGTGGCGACAACACGCGACCCAAAAATAAAGATGGCGGTCACCGCGCGATGTACCGTGAGCACGCACGGCACGCTGAATCACGATGATTTTTGGTTCGCTTGGAGCGCGCCGCGGGGGGTACGGTACAAGCAAAATGATAGTATGCGCATGCGTACAAGTGCAAGTACCGTACCCCTCGTGGCGCGCGCGCTCCGAACGAACCGAAAATCATCGTTGGATCATATGCGTGCATGTTTCAAGTGTCAGGTTGGCTCAGTGCGGAAAGGGCATATTTTTCATCATTTTGGCCAAAAACCGACAAAATCCAGCGAAGTTTGTTCTGCGCATATTACGTGAGTATGTCATGAGGTGTTGTACGGAGTTTGGGGGCAAACTGTGCAGCGGTTCTGTGGGAAATGTCTGCATTTTGATGGACGTTTTTGTACTTAATTAGTGTTTTGTGCTGAAAACGATTTTGCGGGGTTCTTAATCTATGAGGCTCCACTACGATAGTTCTAGGAGTACTACAGGTAGTGATCAATGATTAAGATCGAGATACTAAAGTTTATTTACAATCTGGATGAAAAGTGAAATTTCCCGTTCAATTCCGAGAGCTCCCCTCGCGATCGTGAACATAATTCCGACTCGTGTTTGAACAATGCGATGTGGTTATGCCCTATGCTTTGCAGAGCATCATAGTTCTAGGGATAGTCGTGCCCAGCGTTCATGGTCCTTGTATCCCGAGTGCCATTCCGTTACCGAGCGCGATGCATCGATTTTGATAATCAGTAGACTGAATCTTGTTTGTGCATTTCACACGATGATAGGGAGTCGGAAACTAGGGCAGCTTTTATGAGTGGATACCAGTTCAAGCTAGTTCCCAACTCCAAACGTTAAGTACCTCCATCTTAATCATCGATGTCTACTTGTACCTCAGGTGGCTTATCTAGTTATTTGGAGGCCTTTTTGAGGGTGAAATCTGATGTTTTTGTTGGGCAATGTTCGGTTTTGGGGTCAAGAACAGAATTGTGTCGAGCGATGGCAGGGGTTTAGGTTGGACTATTTAGGTCTTTCTGGTTATGAAACCAAGGATTCCTCAAAAATGTCCTAGGCACTGTAGCCCGAAATCCTGACGAAACCCATAGAGAGGAGACAATGAGAAGAAATTGCAGTTTTAGAGGTGGGAGGAAAAGCCCAGAAGAGTATTCTGGGGAAAACCCACGGAATTAGGTAGGGACTGAAAACCCAATCCACATATTGGCCCAGGCGGGATTCGAACCCGGGTCACAGCGGTGGAAGGCGGGGAAAGTACAGCTACGCCAACCTTGTGTGTCCTCGATTTTATACACCATGAACAAACGCACATTATACATGTACATTTGTGTACACTGTTTATAAATTTATAAGCTCCCAGATACTGGTATACCCTTACCTTCATGTATACATAAATGTACATTGTACATTTATTTAGTAGGAGAGTACACTGTTTATTTGATGCAGTATAAAATATACTAGGTCAACCTTGTCAACTTTAGATCAAGTTTGTGCACTTTGCATACATAGGCCTACCTGTACATTGTCCAACTCTTTTCATGGTTTGGCTTTCACGCATGGGCCACTCCCATTCAGAGGGAGCAGTCTGGCGTGTGAATACTTCGCAGGGCTTTTTGGGTTTACAGAAACTGGTAGTGTTGAAATGTATATTAAATATGATAAACAAGTTATTTACAGTAACAAATACACATGTACTTTACACATGTACAAGAACAATGTATAGATGCAGTGTACATAGTTGTTGTGCAAATAAGCAAGTACTAGTCCTATAGTTGCGCGTATATTGTGCGTACATATACATACAAATGTACGAGATATTTTACAAACTTTAAGTGAAACAAATGCTTAGTTTTTTCCTTTCACATGGACAGAATTTTAAAAAAACCATTAGTATTTTTAGAAATGACAACAATTCCAGTGTAGTCATTGTAGTAATATCAATGGAGTTAAGTTTTTTGTCAAACAAAGCGTTTTATTGGAAAAACTACCGTACATGTACACAGAATACAGTATTCTTTTTATGAATTGAAATACTCAACTATACATGTGTAGTCTGTACAGGTATTTTGGAATTCAACAAAGTTCTGTTGTTAAACTGAAGAGTTGTCTAAATAGGGGAGAAAGTTCAATACAATTGGGTATTTGACGTACAGAAATGCCGAGAGCACGATACAAAGAAAAGTGAAAATTGTGTACAGTGCCTTTCCCTGTCTTCATCAATTGATGCAAGAAACAACTCCCTTGTGAATTGTTATCATTGAAGGAAACGAAGCGGTGTTTGAAAGCACAATGTGCATTCACAGTCCTTTATCAATACTGTGTAGTGTTCACTGATAAAAAGTTATGGACTTTGATCCGGATATTACAAACGTGTTCATGATGTTCAAAAGGTTATTCTTATTATTTGTGAGGGGTTCTTGCTAAATGAGACAGTTCAACTAAAATGTAGGCAGAGGTCGAAACAGGGGTTTCTGGGTTTAGCAAAGAGAATGAAACTCTCCTTACAATACTGTTTGTTGCACTTTGATCAGACATTCTCTTGACAAGTTACATGTACATTGCTGTTTTTCACATTTTTCG